CCATGTCAGCAGTCGTCTCGACATCGGAAGTGAACGATTTCTTTGTTGGACAGGATAATGACAGACTGTAAAGGCACAAGAAATTTAGTATTCATATAAGCTTGCATGAAATTATATTGGCGCGGCGATAACGAACTATGACTTTAAAGTATCTTTATCAAAGCCCGAGACCGAAACGGCCAAGGGCGAGATTTCATACTTATTCTTAAATATTACTTGCCTGAATGAATTCGCTTATTAGTAATAAGGCTTTATATTTGTGTTCAGACGCAGACACATTTGACCCCTTCTACCGCATTTATCATGGAGAGTGTTCAGAGGAGTTGTTCGGACTAATACCTGCAGCTGAGTTTCACTATCGGACGTCAAGACAGAATACCAAATACCATCGATATCACCTCGACGTCCGTCGTTCCACAACCAGCTGCCCACTGAAGTATTTCCGAACCAATTCGACTTAGGGTACTTCAAGAAAAGAGCGTACCAATTCTTGAAAAGCCGGCAACGCACTTGCGAGCCTTCTGGCAATGTGAGTGTCCATGGGCGGCGGTATCACTTAACATCAGATGAGCCTCCTGCCCGTTTGCCTCCTATTACATAAAATAAAAAAAATTAAAACGTTTCTTTATTGTTTGTTAAGGTAAATGAGCTACCTTCTGTTACGTAATCCAAAAGACCCCTATTTATACAAACGTACCTATAACTTTACTTAATTTAAACACCTACCATTACTAATTATATTGCTATATAAATAATATGTAACGTTCCTCTTAGAGCATAGGCATTAGGGTGGGCCAAAAAAATTAAATCTAGTTATTCGTACAGGCACAGCGTCAAAAAGGTGCTAAATGGCGTAAATGATTGATACGTAAAGTTGAAATATAATTATTTTAAATTTTACTGCCTCCGGATTGAGATAGAATTTATTAAAAATTTTAATTTTTGAGCCCATGTTGAGATTTTTTTCTTCACTTTATTTAAATCTTTATTAGCGCTTATTTGTTTTTAAAAAGAATAGTGCATCTTTTGTTTTGTTTAGTTCGAGGACAAAAGTGTAAAGAGGGGTTGGTACCAGTGTGGTGTGGTGTTAGATTTGACAAGAAACGCACGACTTATAGCAAAGACAATCTATGTCTGCACGCATTACGTAATTAAGTGAAGTCACTTTTTAACGAATTAATAAGAATGAAACGTACGAAAAGATGTTGGAATTATCCGTTATTTGGTAGTCTATATGATTTGAAAGACAACATAATATTGCCCACATATGAATATGTGATGAATTTGTATGGGTGAAACCGACACAAGCTAAAATTCGGGAGATAAAGAAATTTAGGGTAGTGTGATTGCAAAACTAATAGAAATATGGGCGAAATCATCTATTCCTACAGTTGAACCTAAAAAAATGTAGGAAATGCTGGAATCATATCATTTAAAATGCAAAAATTTGCTAGAATCTCACCCAAAAAACCTAGATTTAAGATCGAAGATTTTCGTCATGGAATGACGTCTCGACTTGCAAGTGTCGAGATTTGCCCCTTTTTGGGGTATAAAGTACCTGCAAGAAAACACAGCTTCATAGTAGATCGATGATCCGCGAGAAAAATGGTAATTGGTAGTATAGATGTCGACACAACAAAACAGATGACAAAATTAGTTATTTCAACATATTGACGGCAGTAAGTCTGAGCCCAAAACATTTTCAGAGGAATTAGTAAGCAGCTTAAAATCTGTGAGCCCTCTCACAGATTTCGATAACTCAGTTTACTGCTATTCCTACGAACCTACTGGAGCTTTCTGTTAGTACAGACCAGAACTACTTGTACAGAATAGTCGAAGCAGTTTCAACAGGCACATTTCCCAGCAATTTAGCGAACAAATCACCAGGCATAATGTCTCATGCCCATGGTTAACCAACGAGACAATAAGATTTTGCATCTGTATGCTAAAGTGTCTCTACTTTGTCCTTCTGAAATTCTCTTTAAACGAATATGATGAATGAAGCACTCTTGCAACGTAAGCTGTTAAGTTTTACGCGCCGATATGGTTTTCCATAAAAACTCTTTCAAGCTGTAATGATGGATCGAGGCCTTTCTAAAAACTTATTGAGTAAACGCAATATGCACCAACAGCATTGAAGGCTGTTATTGACGCACCCAGAAAATGCTTGAATTGTTAACAGACCCCAGCGGAAAATTCGCGAATTACCTGCACGTCGAATTTTGAAAGTTCAGCTCATGTTAGATCAGCAATATTAAAACCACTGTGTCTTTTTCAGTTACCAAAGATTAAATTTGACGCAATAGCATACCTACCTACGACCTTTTGAATTGGCAGAAAAGTTTTACTGGACCACCGCTATTAAAATCTGTTACCGAAAAAAAAAATATTATTTATTGAGCAGAAAGGAGAAGGAGAACCGGATTTACTACATCTATCTTGTCACACTCAAGCAGTAGAAAGAGCCGTTAAAGCCGTGACAGAAGTTTCAGCCACTATATGCGATAAAACATCAAGAGAGGGATTCATAGACGCCCAGCTAGATTGAAGGAAAGCGATGCGAAAATTCGACAGCAAGAAGGATTTTAACGGCACCTAAACATTTCAATTAAATAATAATTTAGCTAATGAGAATAGTTATTACTCTATTTTAATATTCTTCTATTAATAAACAAAAGATTCTTATGATTTTCGGTCTTTATATTAAAAACAAAAGATCTTTGCTTGTCAATATGCAATGGCCCTTTTTTACTATATTTCTTTAATTTTCACATGACTCCGGAGGCAGAAGATTAATTCCGAATGCTATCAAACTCCGTATTCTATTTACAGTCACCATTTAGCACCTTTTAGTCACTGTGCTCCTATAAAAACCAAACTTTTTTTTTCTTCATACATATTTGACCCACCCTAATAGGCATATAAAAAACATATCTTAATATCATAGAGAAGCTATACCTATAAAACTATATCTTCAATACTATTGCCATAGTCTTGTTCAAAAGCAAATGTCGCAACGTTTTGGCATGACATCGTTGCCTAGTTTTGACTGGCACCTAATTATGTAACGACAGAAACAACGCCACGAATTGAGGTCGCGGACTGCAAACGGAGGTTCGGAAGTGCGTGAAGAATAACTGAAATGTACAATCAACAGTAACAATAGTAAAATCTTTTTATTTGCAGATTAAAAAAGGAACAATTTTTCTTAACCAAAACGACGACGTGGGATAAATTATTTTAAAACTCGAACAGAAAGCAGTACAAGATTGAGATTGTAAAAACACGTGATGCGGGTCACTCCGCAGGAAGTGCCATTTCCATATGATTGCAATTTCAAATGGAGCATATCCGGTCTAGACTTCCGCACCGTTACGCTGATTTCTACATTCTATAACAACTTTCGGTTGAGATCCAGGATATTTAATTAATATTATTCCATATTTAAAATTTGTTTACCAAACACCACATTGTTTTTCTTTTGTACAAACCAGGATGTAGAATATGTATTCCATTTTTAAATGTTAAGTGCAAGTGAATACAGTCGGAGACAACAGAATATTGGTTATTTTTATCTCACCTCACTACAGATATCATGTTTATCTGTAAATAAATTTTTTGCTTAAACTAGTTATTAGTACTACGCATTTAACTTCTGTAGTCATGTTTCTGACGCTAAAAAATAATTATTGTATGTATCTTCTTTACATTTTCATTTCCTCAGTCTATGATTAAGTTTTTTACACTTCAGGGACGGTAATGACAATATGTTTATGATTAGTACCCAATTACATTTTTCACGTGTACTTGAAACTGAAAAACCTCATTTCCTAGTATCTTCGTGACGTCTTTTGTAACAATTTAACAAAAATAAATTCTAAAAATATTTTTACGGAATACATTCTTGATAAATTCATAATTTACATGGTTTTGTATACACGCACGGAAAATTGTGTTATCTATGACATAAAAAGTATGTTCTTCAGAGAATAAAGTTCTATCTAAACTCAAATCATTCATGTACAGATTTTTATATAATTTCACTAGAAACAAAGTTAAAAAATTATTACCTGTAGCATAGAATTCGATTGACAGCCATAGCTAGTAGAACATAAAGGATTGTTAAGATAAAATGCGCGGTCATGGTCACAAACAAACCAGCGTTTATTCCCTAAATTACTGTACAAGATGCACAGATTCAACGTATATTCTGCATTTCACTTTCATACGACATATCGCATGGGAGAGAGTGAGACGTCCGTATGGAATGAGGTGGGGTAAGGGAGCAACAGGTAAGGATTCCGAGGCCACTTCCGCCTTGGCTGCCGAATATTTCTGTCTCGAACCGGTAGTGGGACGGCAGCCAGGGATCTTATAAGTTTTATGTCTACATATTACGTATGAATAACTTCGAAATGATCCTCTCTGCCAAAACCAAGTCTCGGCATTCGCAAGATATAAATTGTTCTCACTACTTTGACTTTTAAGCTATTACGTTATTTTTGATAACTTTAGTAGGTTTTAAATATGATTTTTAAAAAAAATTCAAACATAGGCTACTAATCTAATACTAATCAAAATAATAAAATTCCTTATTAACACTATGCATGTTAAATCACCGTACGTTGGTAACTTCCTAATAAAGTAAAATCTAAATAAGAGTAATTTATAAGATTAGAAATACCTAATTATCACATAACAGCGGAAATCAACTTACAATAATACTAAGAATATTAATTATCACTTGGCGACTACGTATATTTGCATGCTTAGTTAAGTATTTAAACAAGGAAACATTACGAGTTATTAAAAACTGGCGCGCTGACGTAATCCTATAGCACAACTAGCACTTCCGCATGCCCTAAGCATACGCAATTGTTTCTGTATCGAGTAGATTGTAGTCTTGCCGCAATCATCTGTGTATATTTCGAATATATTTACGTCGATAATAACTTGTACATCTACGATTCCGGATATACTTCATAACCAGTATGATAAAAATGGGACTCGGATCGTCTGGATCCCGAAGTTTTATCTCATTTTCCACAATGTGTGGCGCGCGATGTGGTAAAGGGCGAGAGGCGGGGGGAGGTGGGCGCTCGCGTCCGTCCGCCCGCGCCGCCACCGCATCATCAGTTCGCGTCGAAGACTTGATCGTGACGCTTGTCTGCGAAGTCGTTCCCTCAGATACGCTGCTGGTTTACGGAGTGCCGTAACACGACACGTTTGGAGGGACTACCGCTGCTACGCGTGTGCTGTGCTCTTGTGAACATTGGATATTGTGATTTTCTGTGTGGTGATAATGCGTACGTGCTAAAACTACTAATTGTTGCCAAGCGCCTCTTAGGATTTTTGACGACGCAACCAGTTCCGGATCAGCTCAGCCGGTAAGTAGCGGTGCTTATCACAGGCCGCGCTATCTCGACCGCACGCATTTCCGACCCCACCCGATAAGGCAATAATTATGTGTCGAAAACAAATAAAATGTGTAAAGTTTCAATCTTAACAATTTTGAGATTACAAAAAAAGGGCTTAAGAATAATATGTATATATTTACTTTCTAGTACTTAAAATGTGTACTTAAAGTAGCAGCTGGCAGAACAGTTCTGCAATAAATAACAATAAAAAATTGAATTTGGATGGAACACGTGCATCTCACCCTAAGGGTCAAGTTTTGCCGCGAAAAAAATTATACAATGATACGCTTTCCCCTTCTCCGGAACAATCCCTTTTATTCCCTTAAATAATTGGGACTTTATTATCAAACAAATGTTACCCTAAATTGTTGCATAAATTCAGGGTTGCTATTGCCGATAAAAAAAAATTCTTTTAAACTCATTTAGTCGAAAAAATATATTTTTTTTTACTGTACAGCGTAGTATAGCCTTAAACTTTGTTATAAAGTTACGATCCGACTTAAAAGATTTAATTCGCGTAAATAATTGGCGCTTAAAACTTATATTAAATTACCTTACTTTTATGTGGCCTAGTCTAAATAAATTTCATTTAAAAAGTCAAGACGTAAACAAACAAAGGGCGCCATCTACTGTCGAGTAGCATCTATTATACACTTCCAAATTATTTATTTTAGTTATCTGTTGTTTCAGATTGTCGTAATGAAAGTTGTAAGTTTGCAATTGCCATCGGGACCTAGTATGGAGCGGCTACCGCTACCATTTAGTCCAACGGAACTCCTATGGCGATACCCATTGCCATGGGCACCTCCGCCTCTTTCTCCTCTCGGTGACGCCAAGGCTCAATTACCAGCTGGGCTCCCTCCAGAACCCAGATTATGGACCAGAGAAGACGTAGCAGTCTTCCTGAAATGGTGTGAAAGGGAATTTGATTTACCAAATTTCGATATGGATCTCTTCCAAATGAATGGTAAGAAAGTAATTTGATCAAATTGTATATTTATTCATAACTTATATTTTTTGATGTGAAACTTCTTTTGGCACATGAGGGTAAAATTTTTACGGATGAAACACAATTATAATAATATGAACGTCTCAAATGACGAATTGTAAATTAAAATGCCACGTGTTTTTATTACCGAAGAAAAAAATTTATAATTTGTATCAATTTTCGACACTTAATATTTTAATGACAGTTAAATTCCTAACATATCTTCCTTTTTCCCTCCCTTTAGGAAAGTAAAATAATTAAGTAAGTAAGATTTCTATAAATATACAATTCTAATACTTAATAAGACTTAAAAATTAGTTTGCCAAAGATGTTTCACTTCGCACGCACTTTCATTGATTAATATTGAAGATAAAACAGTGTGAAGAAGTAATTATTTTCTTTGGTTTCAGGTAAAGCTTTGTGCTTATTAACCAAAACAGATTTAGGAGAACGTTGCCCTGGAGCCGGAGATGTTTTGCATAATGTACTACAAATGCTTGTCAGAGATGCCGCTATTTTAGGCAGAGTTCCCTCGTCCCCTGTCACACCGACAGCTCGTAACGCCCCATATCCACCTTCTCCTCACTCTCACCCACCAACTCCAACGTGGGCAGTTGCGGACAGCTTCCACCACTTCCATAGCGCCGCTGCTGCGGCGGCCGCTCAACCAAACTCTGTTACCTTAAGTCCAGCGCCATCCGTTGATAGCTCAGGAAGCCCGCAACGTGGCGAAACCATCAGTTATGCACCATCCTACGCACCTCCGGTTCCCACGCAAACCGGAAGTTCTGGAAGTAACCCATCTGATTCCGATGAAGATGCGAAGTTCGCACCGCCTCCCCATTCGCCGAAGGACGCTTTACCCAGCCCTGCACCGCAAAACCATGCGGCGGCGCAACATTCTCATTTTCGGACTCAACACCGAGAATTTTTCCCCAATGATATGCCCGAATCAAATACAAGTAAGTAACTCAAAAATTTATTAAAACAAAGTATTAAGATCAGTTTTTAAAATATTTTATAACAAAATCGAGTAAAATCGGCTTTAAACCTAATGTTTGCAAGAAGTTAACATAATATTTCTTGCAGATGGAAGACTTTTATGGGATTTCCTTCAACAACTACTGAATGACCCAACACAAAGATACACCAACTACATTGCATGGAAGAACAGAGACACTGGTGTGTTCAAAATTGTTGATCCTGCTGGACTTGCTAAACTTTGGGGAATTCAGAAGAATCACTTATCTATGAACTACGACAAAATGTCCCGAGCACTACGATACTACTATCGCGTCAATATCTTACGCAAAGTGCAAGGCGAGCGACATTGTTACCAGTAAGTATTATAAACTTAAAAAAAAAAACATTAATTAACAAACAAAAAAATCCTAATAAATGAGCTAGGTCTGGATATCCATAGTCACACTTTAGTATTTTTGTTTAGTTTTTTTATAATTTAAATTTTTTTTATTAGTATTTTTTTTAATGTTTGTTTTGTTTAATAATTGTTTGGATTGATATTTGTATGATCTCTAAATGTATGTCATGTTTGCCTTTAAGTGCTTGTCACATTAAAAATTGTATTTTTTGTTTGTTTTTACCAATGTATCGTTGGCAAGCTTTATCAATTAAAAAAAACAATTAGAATAGAAAGAAATGTAATATAAACATAATTATGCTATAATGATGCTCATACTCGAATTCACATTTCCAGTTATATTATTATAATTAGAAGTGCTGTTGCTGATAGTACATTAGACATAATAACACACTAATGATTTTTTTTTATTTGCAGGTTCCTCAGGAATCCTACAGAACTTAAGAACATCAAAAACATATCTTTACTACGTCAACAAATGAGCCCGACACGTGTGGCGCAACAACAGCAGCCACAACCACAGTCTGTGGTAAAGGCTGAAATGAAGGAAGAACGTTGTGATGACGACCATGTCGAAGAAGATATGCCCACAGATCTGAGTATGAGCGCAACTGAACCTTGGCGGAAACGGCCGCGGTCCGACCCGGCACCTGTCATCCCATCACATGACAAACATTATATTAGTACCTTGATTGGCGATAATATGATGATGAAACAAGAATCTGATTACAGCTCAGAATACTACGCGCTTAATTTAAAAAGTGAAAAATGCGAACAATGACTTGTGACAAAAAATTGACATGATGTGAAGTGATTATAAAGTGAAACAACTCCACCCGATATATTTCTAGTCAAATTTCTCTCGGTACAGTTAATTTCAGTCTTCCCATTATACCTACATTTACAAATGTTCATAAAATTAACTGAGAGTGCTTTGACAGATATTATACGGAACGGAGTAAAACAGGGTATGGACCTTAAGTAATGCCTTTGTGCCACGTGATTTTTATCTGATAGTGTCAATTACATATTTTATATTTAGGTGTAATTTAGTTAGAAAAAGGGGACAGAGATTATTTGTGTTATTTCATAGAGACTTTGAATATATTGTGCAATGGACCATATATATGTGCTGCAGACTGATTTCTGGCAGTTACACATGAAACAATATTGCCAAAAGAGTTACGTCTAGTATAGCGTATAATCACAGTTTGTACGCGTAATGCATTTTGTTTATTTAATAAGGTATTAATATTGTCATTAAAAGTAAGAGTAAATATATTCTTCCTAAAGTAGAAATAAATAATAGGTCTAACAAATATTGAAATATATCATACACATGTTGTGTCTTCCATTGGTTCTTTTAGGCGAACTTCATAATTGTAGTGTGTGAAATCTGTTTCATTAAAGCTACCACAGATATAGAAAATGTTTATATTTACATAAAAATATTATAGGGACAATAAATTGACAACATAATGCCTTGAAACCAATCTAAAATTCCTCTGTGATAAAGTTGTAAAGTGGTAGACATAGTATATGCTAGGCTTTACTCAATTATTTCCAGCTACAATTTTCTGTGATCTCTTATCAATATAGGTAAATATTGTCATAGAGACTAAAATTATTGTTTGTAAATAGTATTGTAAATTATAAGTTAGGGTAACCGGAGAGAACTAAAGAGTGTATGATGTATGGTTTGTCAAACAAAATGTGGAGCTTTATCAAAGTACCTAGGTATTAATAAGTATGATTACAATTGAGTTTGTATTTTTACATTTATTTCTATGTGGCATGCATGCCGAACTTCCAACTTGTAAAGAGTATAAATATAATGTTTCAAGAAAAAACATTGTGTTAAATTTGTTAAAAATAAAAATGAATGAGTCTGAAAATACCCTCTTTTTTCCCAGTTCCATTCCTTTCACTGTTTGAAGAATATATTTTAATAATAATAATCTTTATTCATTTTTTCTCACAAAAACTTAGTACATAAACAAGTGACAGTTATATACCAGTATAAATCAATAATTGTCTTCTATTTAGGCAAAATGCTAGTAATAATAAATAGTACTAAAGTATTATTTATTGACTTCTTTCGCTTGACGCAAAGTGACACTTCTTTTTTACTATTAACCAAGTACTGAAACAAATTACTTTGTCTTAAAGATTAAGAGAAATACTTGAATAATTTTCGATCTTACCTAAGCCATAATATACTGTTTAGTGGGATATTGTAGCTCATGAGCATCTATCACTTTATTGTAAGTACCTACAGTGGATCTAATAAATATCATTGTCCAAATTGCGATGATATATGCAAAAGGGAACTAAATTGACACGTATTTATTATGTACGCATATATTGATGTCAAAAAAGCAACGACCAAATGTACCCCTTATAAAAATATTATAGCAATCTAGAGTATCGGCATAATATTGAGATTATAATATTAAAGTTGTCTTGGCCTTGAGTCACAAGTAGTTTGGTATACAAACTACATTTCCCATATAGCAAATTGCTGACTTCGTTTTATGCCTTATATAAAGTACTTAGCAAATAATACATCTCCTGTGAAGAATAGTATTGCTTAGTAGAAGCTAGTTACTGCTCCAAGTTTATACAAATCTAAAATGTAGTCATTTAGAATTTAGATGGGAAATGGAATAGACTATAATTTTTCTTTATAAACAACAGACGAGAGAGGTGATCACTGATCAGCACTGTGAGATTCTAACTGATACTTTTTTAGGAACGAGCGGCCTGACGGATAAAACTCAATAATAATAATATTAGCGTCACGAAGATGTGCAGCGATTTTGTCGAAAAGGGAGAGAGCGAATTACCTTATAGAAATTCTATTTTTAAAATTTCTTAAAGGGAGCGTTCAAGTATTATGTAACGAATTTGGGTGATTCCTCTTGTTACGATGCCGGGCGGGAATTGAATTACCCGTTATTGATTTAATTGTTACTTATTTTTAATATTATTTTCGACGTTCCGGTACTTTACACGACAAAATGGTAACTTTTAGGTTTGAGTCACTGGGTGGTCACGAAACGTTTTACTATTGAGTACAGAAGAAAAACGTTACGGCGCGTTACATGAAGATGGGGGGCCAAAAATTGCATGACGTAATACTTGAACGATCCCAAAGAGAATTTATGAAATATTAGTATTTTATGCAAAATAATTTATTGAAATCTCAAATGATGAATTATAAATTAAAATGCCACGTGTTTTTATCATTTAAAATAAAAATTATAATTTGTATTATTTTTCGACACTCACTATTTTTATGCCAATTAAATTCCTAACATATCTTCCTTTTTCCCTCCCTCTAAGTCTCGGAAATCTTAAGTTTTATATTTGTATAAATATGAACAAAGTCAAAACTTAAAAATTAGTTTGCCAAAGAAGTTTCACTTCTGACATGTGTACTTTGTACACACTGACTTCTTCTGATTCTAGTGTTAGTAGGGATCCTCATTTTTTTCTTGCAAGTAAAATAGCCTATATTAATCAGTGATATTGTAGCATTCAAATGGTGAAATAATTTTTAAAATCAGTCCACGACTTTTTGAGGCAATTTGTTACAAACATCTTTCCTCTTTATAATAATAATAACTAGCGACCCGCCCCGGCTTCGCACGGGTATTAAATATACAGCCTACGTCACACACTGAAAAAATTATTAAAATCGATCCAGTATTTTTGGTTTGTTCATGGCCGTGGCCCGCACGCGTTAAATTTGGATATTTTGATTAATCTCGTAGGGTTCAGCCTGCGTTTGCAATGTAAGCGAAAAAAATGTAATTATTTACGACATCACATCAGAAACCTCAAAAATACATATAAACCTTCCTCTACAATCACTCTATCTATTTAAAAAAACCGCATCATAATAAAAATCCGTTGCATAGTTTTAAAGATTTAAGCATACATAGGGACAGAGAAAGCGACTTTGTTTCATACTATGTATTGATATAGACAGAAACAAAGACCCTTGGGTTTGGTACATTCAATGCAGCAAGGTGCCTCAGAAATTGTTGGCTAAAGATTGCTTTGAGAACATTTAGAAAATTTTAAAAAATAATAATTATTATCTACGACAACAATATGTTAATATTTGAGGTGACAAAAACATTATTAGGTGTTTCACAGTAATCTGAAGCTTTTATTTTAAATAAGTCAAACTCTTATAATAATTGCAGCTTAAGTTCTATGTATTTTTATATAACATCACTAAATACTTCAAAAATATTTATACTTTTGATATCTTAAGTTTTTCCACTTTGAGGTTGGAAAAATATGATATCATCCGCTATTACTGTTGATGCTGATCTAACTTGACCATCATCTAATTTAATTTCTCCATATGACAATTTACCAGTTACATAAACTCTTTGACCTTTTTTAAGAAATTTGTATACCGTATCTCTTAATCCTGGTCTAAAAACACTGATTCTGTGCCAGTCGGTCTTTTGCAAAACATCACCAGATTCATATTTGTAGCTGAAATGAGTTGCAAGAGGAAAGTTTATTACAGGATGCTCTTCAGTGCCTCTTTTCTGTGGATCAGCACCAACTCGGCCAAGAAGTGTAACTTGATTTAAAGCTAAAAAACAATGAATTAAGCTATAGACAAAACTTTATTTATTTAAATGTATATCTTTATAATAATTTTTAGTTTTCAATTTCAAGTTAGCTATGGTAATTAGTAAGCATTGCAAGCATGGCCAGTATTGATACATGTTTTAACCCCATAATACCCAGTGTACTTTCATAAATTCGCCAATATTGTTTTTAATACAATTTAATATTTTAAAGCCAATGAATAACACTGCATACAAGTATCTTAACTATTATTAATCCCCCACCAAAGGTTATTTGCATCAATTGTACTCTTAAACCTACATTCATACATAATAGGTTACATTTTAAGCGTTTTGCTGCAAACGAAGACCCGGTTATCAATTTAAATGCAATAAAGAGATACTTACTTTTTTCAGATACTTGTGAATCATAGTTAACAGTTGTGGTATGTAAACTACTTTTAGCCAAAAGCGGTCGAACGCCATTTCTCACCTTTAAAATACCAAAGATAATTTTTAATATATAACCAAAACTTTTAATGTGATATATTTAATATTATAAACTTACTAATCTGCTTAAATTGCCCTGCATAACTGCTAAAAATTAATTGAGGTCTACTTAAACTGAGCTGAGCTTGTGATTTAGATTTAATTATTCTTATTTAAAAGAATTACGGACTCAAAGAGATGGAATAATGAAAATCTTAAATACATAATAAACATAACCTTAAATCTCAAAGATTATGTAGACTACATAAATATTAAACAGAGAGGGCCGGCTGAAGTATTTTTTTGACTACACTATTTTAAATATAGTTCTACCGTAATCTCATAGCAAATAGGGAAATCATAATTTGTTGTGGGTAATACTGGGGAAATTGGATGAAATGATCTTGATACTGTTTAATTTTTATTTATGTCATTAGTATTATATTATAGTAGTGAACATGAAGTATATTAGTTGTTTGAATAAAGAATTTTATACATCGGGTTCTTAAGATAGGAAATATGTGGTGAAAAATGAATTAATCTCTAAAATCCTCTGCATCAATTTATGAGAAAGCTTCTTCTGTTAATAATTTTATGACATTTTTATCAGCAACTTTTTGCTTCATTATATCCCAAATAATTTCTATGCGATTCAATATACGATGGGACTCTTAAAACTTCATGACAATGCGATTTTAATACTTAATCTATAGCCATCATATATAAGGGCACAGACATGTCTTGTTACACTACTTTCAGTAGTTGACATTTACGCCAAACACCAGCATATTGTAAATCATTTGCACGGAGATTATTTTATAACAGCGATACGATTGGCTTATGTGAGCGGTTTTTTCATACGTAGGGAATGATACTAGTTGTCAGTAAAAATTAATGAAGGTATTGTTAGATTTGGAATTAGCTTCTTTGTCACCCATTTTGTTAAATTGTCTTTATTCACATCGTGGTGTGAGTCAGCAGACACACTTGTTGATCTGTACAACAGACAACAATTAGGTACAAAGCAATTTCCTCCACCAGCGTTTACAATGATCCATCTCGCTCCAAGTAAAATACTTTTAGATGGACCTGCAATATCTTTGCTTTGCCAGCACTTATTCACAGAACATGAACCGTGTATATAAGTCTCGTTTCAATAAAATAGGTACATCCAATTTATAATGCTCTTCAATTTCCCGGTTTTCCTTTATAGCTTCAAAAACTTGTATCTTTGTAGTTTTATGTCATTTCTCTCCAAAATGGTCCGTTTTTATTGGCTTTTAATATATTCCAAACCAATCTACTTAATAACATATTTTATCATGTTACTCAAACGATAGCTTAGACATTCACCATCGTCATCATCGTCAGCATCAGTCAGTGAGAGGGATTATTGCTTAATATGTTTCTAACCTCAGAGATTCTCTTCCTTCGTTGAAATAAATATCTTGTCGAAAAGTTTGTAACAGTTTCATTACTACTAGTCTGGCTTATGAAAGAAGATGACGAAAAAGCGCGGCAAATCCAAAAAAAAAGGGTGCGTGTACTTATGTACGCGCGTAAGAAGTTATACTTCTTTGGTATTATTAAAAATAGTTTGGCTTTGTTCCACCTCCAGTTTTTGATGTTTCACAGCGATAAGATGACAACTCTTTTTTGTATTCAATTTAGTGCACTTACACTGATTCATCAATAGTTTTTTGTCTCTTGTCCTTATATTTGCTAGATTAAATCAGAAAAATTACATGTTTTGATTAAACAATGTGGTCATTTTTTAAATCAAAACATTACTCGATAATAATAATACATACGGATAGTTAACCTCAATTGTATTGAAGCACTTAGGAAGGTTGATGAGCACAGTTTTTTTTCACAAATATTAATTAGTATTGGTTTAAATATTCAATTTAAATCACTTCTGATTATAATTCAAAAAGCATTGCTAAATTTCTTTGAAAAAATAATTAAAACTCCTTTATTTGTTTAAAAGGTAAATGACAAATGTCATTATGGTCATTCAAAATTCTTGGCATACGAACTTCACGCATATTCTATTTCTTTTTACTTGTAGATTGTCTTATTCCTATCTCGCTCGCGCACGCTATAATCACACTCCTAATTTTGTGTCACAGGTGCGCGCGCATTATAAAATTTCACTCTCATAAATTTTTCATAACGCGCCTAAAGAAGTATAACTTCAAAAATAGTATGGTATCTATAAAAGTTTGATATATTTTGTGGATTAAACTTACTTGATACTTGATTTTATTTTATTATTTTTACATTGATAGTAACAGTATTTCTATGAAATTAAATACTATACTTATTTAGTCTTTAATATTGATACTTAAAATGACTAGTGTTACCTGGAAAACTAAAACTATATTTATTATAAAACACACCTTTATTCGGAATAATCAAAATCAGATTCCAAAAAATCAATAAAACAAAGTTTAGGTTAACTATTAACTATTAACTATTACCTATTCGGAAAAAAATATATTATAAAAATAAAAATGAGTAATTGCATGAAGTATCAAGACAATAAATCATACTAACCTAAGAAATTCAATGACATTCTGTGTTGCCATCCGAAAGTTTTCAAATAATTTAATTATCTTCTTTCATTAGCCAGAGTCTATTACTACATTATACTATTAGTCGCCGCGCGTGGTTGTAGTACCAGCTCCTTCCGCTTGACCAGATTCAACGAAGAGCGATTCCAATCGTCAACGACCAGTCACTTTCCGAGCGGCTTGAACCCTTGGCGTTGCGTAGAGATGTGGGATCTGCAGAGGCATCTTCTACCGCATTTTCCACGGAGAGCTGAGTTTCATGGATGTCAAGGCAGAGTATAAAATACCATCCGTATCACCTTGACGTCCGTCATTCCACAACTGAGCGTTTCTTAAGGCAATTTCTGCCGTGCACCAGAACTATATGGTTATAGCTGCCCACTGAAGTATTTCCGAACCATTCGACTCAGGGTCCTTCGAAAAAAAAGAGGGTACCAAGTATTAAAAGGCCGGCAACGCACTTGCGAGCTTTCTGGCAATGTGAATGTCCATGGGCGGCGGTATCTCTTAATATCAAGGGAGCCTCCTGCCCGTTTGCCTCCTGTAACATAGAAAAATCATATTCATCTTTTTGGCAAATAAATAAAATTATTATTATTATAAAACATTTTTTTTTTAATCGCTCTTATTGAAAGAATGTTACAAATTAACCAAACTTGGAAGTAATACGTTTCATGAAAATCATAACCTTTGCTTAATAAATACATAATTATATAATCTAAACCATATCAATATTAAAGTTTATTTGTATTTTTGTATTTCTTATAAAACCTTGTTTATATTAATTTTATATCCATCATGGATAACAGACCTTTAACTCCGTTTTAGTGTTTTTATTCTATGTAAATTACTATACATAGACAATAATTAAACGGACATTTTTGTAGATAGAATTTGTCTATTCAGCTACCACCATATCCAATCCAAAAGAAGTTGTTGCCTGTGAAGGATGCCTTCAGCTGCGAATGCAAAGTCTGAAAAACCTGCTTCTTCGGAAGTAGTGGATAATTCACCAATAAAACAGATAATGACGCTTATCGAACACAAGATACGAAACTTGGAGAAAAGAAAGGTATGTACCTTCTTTACAATAACAAATAATACAGCATACAATAACGTTGATTATAGAACTTAGATAAATCATTTATATATGTATCCAATGTAATAAGTAACGTTACTATCATAAAAATATAAGAAGAATCCTTAATTTTCTGTACATAACTCATTTCAAGCATGTAAATAAACGTCGCTGTATTAGCTGACGCCATTTTTATACATGTGCTTCATTGATGTTGCCGCAAAACCTGACGCCCAAAATCACCATGAAAGATATAAAATTCTGTTATAGGATTTTTTGCGAAAACATTTATTACCTTAAGTGATATCTGTATTAAACAAATTGTAATGTTTTGACTTTATTAATTAAGATGTATTTATGTATGTATGAGTTGTAATTTCTGTTTTGTCTAAAAGTATGTAGTCTATTTCTATTATACAAAGTATTCTACTTTTTGGGTCTTTATAAATTCGTATTTGCTACAATTGAGTTTTGAAAAGCCTTTAACATGTCTCTTCACATATTAATAACTGGTAAAGATACCTTGTTTTTGTTGATCCGATTTGAGTTATGACATAAGTGTGTTATGTTTAAGGGTATATTACGGATATCCAACAGATATATATTTGCGTTTTTCAGAGTAAGCTATCATCTTACCGTGAACTGCAGAAGGCCGGAAAAGAGTTAAATGGTGATCAAAAGGTTGCCGTTGCAAAGTATGATGAAGTAGCTCAAACATTAGAGTTTGCGAGGGACCTTTCAAAACATGTGGGTACCATTGCCCTTTCAGCTGAAAGGGAAGCAAAAAAGCAGGCAAAGCGGGTAAGTTTTATAATAAAATTTATGTTTTTTAATATTGATTTAATATGTTGATCCATTACACATTAAATTTTCAATAATGGTTGGACTTAATATATGAGTTTTAGTAGATTAGACCCACTTTCTTAACATCAAATTACAACAGTGTATTAATTTAAACTATTGTACTATAGGAAGCTTGGGTTCGCTATACTGTCGATACCAATAAAATTCGGGAAGTTCTTCTGGTATTGGACTGTATTATGCAAATGGGCAGTACTGAAGTGCGAAATGATTTTCTAAATGGCACCAATGGCGCGGTAAAGCTTACAGAAGATGATTTGAGAATTCTGGATGAATTGTAAGTAAATCATGACTTTCCATAGTGTAAAATTCATTATATTATTAATAATTGCAATTTATATAAAAAACCTTTCAAATAAAAAAAACTGATTTTTTTCTTTTTCTAATTTATGTAAAAAAAGTAATATCTTTAATATTAATTGTTATAATATTATTTGAAATATTTACATTGAAAATTGACTTCATTTTTATGAACTGCATAGCATAGCATGCATAGTTATTTGTTTACAATAGCAATGGTTTTAGTGACCTACACTCTTATTTATAGATACCCTGAAGTGACTCCCAAACATGAAGATGGTCAATCTGGATTTCATGCCCAAACTGTCAAAGCAGCAGAACATTTATACTCTATTATTGATGGTAAACCAAAGGAAATACTGGGCACAACGTATGCTCATATAAAGGAACTTGTGACATTAATTCATGAATGTAGATACTTTGACAAGACACCTGAAGCACCTGTACCAGAAACAGAGGCTGGTGATAATCACATTCCTGAAGAAGTGCTAGCCCCGGCACCACCACCACCAGAGCCTTCAGATGAAGTAGAACAACCGGCACCTATGTATCCTCCTCACATGGGTATCCCCACAGCCCCGGCTCCAAATGTGGTACCAGCACCAGGATATCCCATGAGTCGACTCCCCCCCATTACACTCCAAGAAGTCGAACACGCCTACTTCGCTCAACAGTATCCTCAACAAAGGCCCATATCTGAAGTCATAGGCTCCCAAAACTTCTTTTTTCTACAGGAATCTGAAATAGACAGCCCCGTCGGAACACCACAACCTCCCATGATGAATCAGGCTTCACCACCGGCACCGATCCCCACTCAGACGTTCACAAATCAACACTTTGTGCAGATCCCCCCAAATCACATTCCAGAAGGTAACATAACGATGCCGCCGCAGCCCCACTACCCACCGCACCCCGAGCACTTCGCGGGTGTGCCCTTGCCCATTCCTGGCCATCCACAGCCCCATCCCCAGACTCACATCATCCCTCAACCACCGCACCCTCAGGCGATGCACGCTCAGCAGCATCTTCCCCCTCAAGGAATGCCGGCGCCGATCATGCATCCGGAGCCCGTCCAACAAAACTCAGTCGAACAGGCTCCGGCCGACGAGCACGAGGCGCAAACGCCGGTAGAAGACAAAAACGACACAGAAGAGAAAGAGAGCAGAAGTCTCGATCGCGAGGACGGCGATCGCAAGACTCAAGGCCAGGGCGACGGACAAAACAGATTCAGGCGATACCGCGGTGGCGGCAGGGGAGCCCCCAACGGTTACCGTGGACGCGGCAACTTCCAAAACAGGCAAAACAACGATGGATACTACAACAGACACGGAGAATACCAGAATAGGCCCAAGGACGGGTACCACAACCGGCAATACAACGACAACTATCAAAACAGACACAAGGACTACCAGAGCAGAGGAAACGACGGTTACTATGGCAACGGCGACACGGACAGCCACCAGCAGACAGAGAACGGTCGTGACAGATACGGGGACTCTCAAGGCTACCAGGGTGGCTTCAAGAGCCGCGGCAGGGGAGGCGCGCGGGGCTCGGGGCGGGGAGCCGCTCGTCCGCCGAGACCGCACTACAACCGCAAGCAGGAACACGTCGAATAAGCCCTCCGGCGAACTCGGCTTCACATAAGCGACTCACTATCGGACTAAATCATTCGTGAAAGGCAAATTTCACCGGCAACAACGCGCTGTGGAAACAACAAGAGATTAAGATAATAAAAAGATAAAAATCTCAAAAAAAAAGTAAAATAATAAAACTCGAAACTAAATAAAAAATAAGTTACTTGAATTTAGATGTATGATATATGCGTTTATTGTAAGTTACGGTAATTCTAGATTCGTGTAAGGTTATTGTCACGTGACTCGGAAATTCCGGAAGGCCCGCTGGAGCTCCGAGCCGTCTTCGCTCAGTACCTCTCGCGTGCCTCGTCCTTGAGATAAGTACAGGATATACGATGCACATAAGTTCTCTTTCGGATATTCCCTCTTTCCTGGTCGATTATTTTGAATTATACAGTATAACCCTTGCTGGATTGGCTTTTGTATTTATTACATTGCGATGTTTTTATACATACTATTAATGTTTTTTTTATTGTGCCCCATTACTTCCCAATAACAAATGTTTTACAAAAGTCTAGTTTTAAATGTTTAATAGTTGGCAATAAAATGTTACTCTTAGCTATTTTAACCGGCCGTTCAAGTATTACGTAAGCACAGGGGGAAGGGGTCCTTTGATTTCCTTATTTGGTGATTACGTCAACAGTAATTATTTACTTTTTTTAGCATTAAGTCTAAGCTTGAAAACTAAATGCCTACAAAAAATTAATACGTTTATGTACTAACCGCTGACAAGGGGGGAATAAATCGCAGTACGTAATACTTGAACGACCCTTTATACATATTACGAAAATATAATTTAAAATATTTTAATTATAAAACTAAATGTTGGAATCAAGTTATAGATAGCACAAGAACCTTGTTATGAACTATGAAGTAGAGAATATTTCGTGGGAATATAGGCTCATTGAGTATTATTGGAAAATAAATTAATAAAATGCTTTAGTGTTTTAACTGTTAAACGTTCAATAAAGTATAAAACGGGAGGTAATGGATTTTTAAATCAAGAATTATTGAAGCGACTAATGTAGTTTCCTTGAATTTATTTGACCTGTTAGGCTGTGTGCAAGCAAATAAAGTATTCTATGAACAATTTTTTTTATTCAAAACCCTGTGGAGGCCAGCCTTAAATGGGCAAAACCTCTGTTCACAACTCCAGGTATATGTATAGTAGAAAAACTAGTAGTAGTTTGCCTCTTTTATGATGTGGCACGACATCGAGCTAGTATATCTAGACATCTCTACCTGATATACCAGCAGGAATAAAGCGACCGTAATTTGTACTTAATTTAAACAATCTATTTATTATCATATATACGCTTTTTGCATTACTATGAATTATTCAGTACTTATAAAACTGAATTTTATTCTATTCTACACAATTTCTTGGCAAGAAAAATATATTTTGAAGAGTAAACAGTGTATGAAAATATTTTTATTGTACTTTAACAAAAAAATTAAGTATTAAAATTATTTCTAACGCAGGTCCCAAAGGCTACCTGCCTACCTTAAGATCAATTTTTTCAATGTGTTGCTTGCTCGGCGAGCACCATTACTGATATTTCTTTTATATTAGATCCAGCTGGAGACAGTAAAGTTTAATGTGCCACCACGGGCGGATCTACTTGAGGGCTTTTTGTGTTGCAGCCCAGGGCTCCGTGGATAGAAAGGGCTCCCAGTCCCCAATGAAAACAAAAGGGGTTTTTTTTAATTTAAAAAATATTTGAAACTTAAAAAAAACTAGTTCATGGGTCAATTTAAAATCCGTGGCAGAAAATGTCGTCCCCAAGCAAAAATTATTTGTTCACTAATATTTTTAATATATTATAATTGTGTTGTAGCGTATTTAGTTAAAGTACAAATTAATTAATTTATTTTTAAAAGAAAAACGGAGTTACTATTGATTTGTCAATTTTGTATAAGGTAACAATAGTAATTCATGGTAACAGAGGTGTTTTACATACAATAAAATGTTGTCCCACGTCTCATGGCAATCAAAAAGCAAATATGGAAAAATCACAATATCGAGTTGCGAATACCACAAGAAAAAATCGACAAAGAGCTCTTCGGGCAATTATTAATACGCAAGAATCAACACCAGATGTTGAGAAACCACCACCTTCTGCATCTGACATCTAGAGAAAATGATTATTAAATTACAAGAAAAGATACAAATAGAGCTGTAAAAAACTGTCCAACAGCACGCCTAACCTAACCTAACGGTATCTTACAAAAATATTGGTAAATGAGTTGTACCATAAGATTGGTACAATGAAGGTGCACGAAGTGTTTACAGAAGAAGTGGGAACCCTGAAGTATCGAGAGTTGAGTTGTATTTGCCAGCGTGGCTTCTGCTCTTGTATGTCGCCAAAAAACTATTATCTATTAAAGGATACGATTGAAGAATCTGAAGACGGTAATCCCAATACTTTAGCGAATACTTAATTGAACAGAAAAGAATTCAATTTACAGTATCGTATACAGTTCTAGCTCGGAATCAGATCATAAACCTTTAACTGAATTTAAAAAATGAAGTTTCACACGAACCAGGATTTCCAGAAAAATAACGACGACAACTTAATCGAAAAAGAAAATATTAATCCAAGTAAAAATTTAATCTGAGCAAATTAATTGCTTTTTTTAGGTTTATTATATGATTAGATAATAAATACCCAGTTCCTAAGTATATTATTGTTTCAAGAAAATTATTATTAAATATAGTTTTGTGTTAGTAATTCGTTAAAATTAATATAAAAGTTAAAACTATGTAACTCGACCTACCACTTTTATGTCTCTAAAAATATAAGACCAAATTTTGAAATTTTAAGGATAACTGATACTTGATTTCATATGTAATATAATATACTATTCAGATTATTATATAGTATTATTGGTATGTTCCTATAATTATTTCGGCGCTAATTCAGAAATTTCAAGTCAAGATCAAGTAGTTGTAGCGTGTTTAGGTGTTCAGGCAAAGAGGTCATCAGAAAGTGTCAGAAGCTGACGCGCCGTCGAATTTGGAGTTTTTAAGAAATCGGTATTTATGTTAATAACTGCTTTATGATGATTTTGAATACATCTGTTAGCTTTTAATATTTAATTAAATTCTAAACATTTTTTATGAAACATATTTTTAAGAATCTTGCTACAAGTGCGCATGTGCAATAGTTACTCATTTGACTCGTTCGGTTGTTTACGAATTGACTCGAACTCCCCGAAGTGGGATGGTCGGGTCGGAGAAGGGAATATATTATAAAAGAGGTTGTAACACATGCGCACGGGCAATTCCTTTGTTCAAGTTTGATGTTATACCCTAAGAACTAGATCAACTAGCCCTTACAGATGAGTCCATTTTGGCCCGTTTAGCTTTTGACAGTAGCTAGACAATCCATTGATAATAGGGTAAAAGGTGTTCATGAATAAAAATCAGTTTATAAAGTAATATATTTAATTCAAAGTATTCCTATGTCCAACTAGTGTGTTGTAAAAATAGTCATACAAATCAGAAAATTTTCGACCAAAATAAATAATTTTATTTCGACCAGCTGATATCATACAATCTTAAACCATAAACTCTGTAAATGTAGAACCTATTATGCTTACAGTAATCAGTGTAGATAGTGTTAACCTATACAACCCAATGCAATTATACAAAATATCATCTACTTATCTAGCTTTTAAAATAAGGGTAATATCGCATTCGTTTGTTCGACCATTTTCCTCAAATTGAGGGTATTAGAAAAGAGGGTATACCAAAATTTATTGCATACAGAAATCACTAGTTTAGTGCTAGGAATGTAGAATTCAGATGGATGAATAACGAAATTTTGGAATGATAGAAAAGGGACGAAATGGACCATTCCAAATAACTTTTTTACATTCTGGTCTTAAATTAAGATTATAAATAAAATGTTTTTTTTTGTACAACATACTTATTGTATTGTACAGCGACTACTATGATGGCACACACGACGCATTCACACTATTCACGTTGATTTATACAAAAGAAATTTACTTTATTAAAATTTGTTAAAATGAATTGTCGAAAAAGAAAATTATAAATTTAGCGGTATCTTTTACCACCATATTAAATAGTTATTATGTATAGAAATGTATATGTTATATTATTATGTAGCGTTTATATGATTTATTATTTGTAGAATCACACGTACTAAAAGAGGTAAATATAATTTTTTTTAAGTTTACTCGTCATTTGATAACTTAATCGTTTAAAAAACATTATCAATGTTGTCTTTATATCGGACTGAATAAAACCATGGTTCCAACCAACCACGACACGTAAGATCATGTTTCGTATGGGCCTGTTCAATTTGATTCGTGATTAGGAGAAAACAAGTGTGGACAGCGACTGATTAGTTGTCTGCGTAGTAAAGTAGAAGCGTGTTCAATTTTTTGCGAGTGAAGTGCGCCCTCCCTTCCCCACTTACTCGCAGCGTGTCTGCCAAACTATCGACAACTGAATTAACTTTTACTTTACTTTTTTTTTTTAATTTTATGTTATTATTATTAATTACTTGATATGTCATGTGGAACATGGTGTAATGGTTGCAGCTCCTTACTAACGTGGTGTAAAAAAAATGGCGATTAGAGAGTGGCAGAGAGTTTATTGCCAGTTCTTCTGTTCCGTTCTACGCCCTTGATTTGAGAACCGGCAGTAAATGTAAAATTAGAAGCATTAATATGTATTTCTTTACTAACGAGTCATAAGTGTACATTATGTTACCTTTATGATTAAATTATTTTTTACTTTACTTTACTTGCACTACACACCTGCACTAATCAACATCAATTACAAATCACTTGTAATCGCACTAATCAAAGTGACCAGGCATTATTGGTTCAAAACAGTCGGCCTAAATAAGCGAACGATATTATACCACCATACTTTATAATGGTAACAACAATGATATCGCATTTATTAAGTCGTGTGTCACCATAGTACGTCCTAGATTCATAACATTGCACACAAACATCAATATTTACACTTATTGCTGTTTAATACGTATTTTATAAGGCTTTTGTTTAGACCTAATAGTAGACCGAAAATACAGTAAGTTGGTTAGTATCACTGAGACAAATGAATATCAGTAAAGCTTCGTCAAATGTTTAAATATTATATCGAATAAACGCGAATCTATTACACGAACCACGCTTTAAAAAATAAATAAATCAGTGGCGCTACAACCTTTTTAGGTCTGGGCCTCAGATTTCTGTATTATGACCATTTGTCAATCTAATAGGCAAGTAGGTGATCAGCCTCCTGTGCCTGACACACACCTAATGGGGCACGGGTCTAAGGCAAGCCGGTTTCCTCACGATGTTTTCCCTTCGAGCTAATGTTAAATGCGCATAGACAAAGTTCATTGGTGCAGCCGGGGTTTGAACCTACGACCTCGGGGATGAGAGTGCACGCTAAACCCAACACTGCTTTTATTTTAATGTTAATTTAAGCTTAGTTAAATTGAATTTAAGCTTACTTTAATGTAAATAAAATCGCGTTTTTATATATGTTAGTTTTATTTAAATCGTGTAACAAGTTCAAAAATTATTTGATATACTATTCGTATCTAACGAGTCGTAATTAAGACTGTTTGATATATAAACTGGGCCTTTGCATGTGATAGATATAGTTTGATACGATATTGGTATATAAATACTATTCGAAAACGAATTAGACCGAATTCCTTGAGTTTTCCCTTTCGTTTACTATGACTGAATACGTATATTTCACTCTTGTCACTTTCCTAATTCAATTTTGTAAAATAATTTTTTGCGTTTTTCGTTTTAAATGCCGTATTTATAACATTTTGGTCTGGACAATAAACCTTTTAGGTTTAGGCCTCAGATTTCTGTATCATAGACAAGTAGGTGATCGGCCTTCTGTGCCTGACACATGTCGACTTTTTGTTTCTAAGGCTTGCCGGTTTTGTGAGGTAAACAAGAATTGTATTGTATTTCTGTTTTTAAATGGCCATTTTCTGAATTTATTTTTAAATTACACTAACAAACATACTGTATTAGGTATTTGTGCAAAACAATTATACAAAATTCCTTTGCGCACTTTAAAAGATCACTGTACCACAAAAAATAAAGTATTGCTAGTTTTGAGGCGCGACTCTGCCTGCACACGTCATTAGTGTGGCTTAGAAAAAGTATTAAACGCAAATATTAGCAATTCGCTAGATTTACGGTGAGAAAGCTTCGTATTCATGGTAAACATTTGTTTAACAACAATTCGTCATGATCGTAGAACAATGTCGGATTTGTAAAAAAAACCAAATTCAACTTTTTATCATATTTGGATACTACATTGACTAAATATTACGCCTACATTAAAAAATTCCAGTGACGGATTTGATTTTTCTAGAAAACTGTGTAATTTAATGTTATTATTTTTATTTTGTTTCAAAACAAACCCTTTTGTTTGTTTGTATGCCAATTTTCATAATAACAGAATATGAATTAAAAAAGTTATGACAAAAACTAACATGATTATATTATTTAGAAATGGCTGCCCTGTAAAGTTTACTATTGGTCAGATCCCTCACTATTCTACGACTATGACGGTTTGTTGACGTGTTTTCGACTTTATAAACATGGCAATAGTGTGGAGCAATGATAAGGAATTCCTGAATCAAAAATACACGATAGAAACAAAAAGAACGCATTCGAAGAAATTTCCCAAACCCTAAATATACCTAACAAATGTTCTCTTTGCAGAAGGGAGCGTTCAAGTATTACGTAACGAATTTTGGAAGGAGGGTGTTCCTTTTGTAAAACGTTATGATGCGGATATTGAATCACGCGTTATTTTTAATATTATTTTCGACTTTCCAGTACTTTACACCACTTAATGGTAACTTTTAGGTATAAAGAGTGACTGGGTGGTCACAAAATGTTTTACTATTGGGTAACGTAACGTTACGGCGCGTTACATGGGGGGGGGTTCAATATTCTCCAAAAATTGCGTGACGTAATACTTGAACGCTCCCGAAGATAGTTTCGCACCCACCATCTGTTTTTCTTTTTTATTATAAATCCTATACATCAGATACAGAGAACACTACCTCCAACAACATTTAAACGCAGACTGAAGTGTGGTTTAAACAAAGTTTCCAGCAACATTTTTTTTATAGAACAGGGGACAAACGGGCAGGAGGCTCACCTGATGTTAAGTGATACCGCCGCCCATGAACACTCAATGCCAGAGGGCTCGCGAGTCCGTTGCCGGCCTTTTAAGAATTTGTACATTCTTGCCGCTGATCAACTATTGCTAAACAAATGTGTACCATAAATGGCTTAAAAACCCGTGTTCTAGAACGTCAGTCACTCTCAAATCTGCTTTTAAGAGCTGTCAAATCATTCCTGAACTTTTACATATTTGAGAGTGCTCAAGAGGAGATTGTGTCTTTGAAATACCTTTTGGAATGCGGGCCTAAAATTGTTGCTAGTTTCAATTGGGAATTGTTAGTAATAGTATTTTTTTTGTAGACTTATGCAATGATTATGATTAAATGATTCCTGTACGTCAAATCCAATTTTTGACTAATAAGCGTTGAATACTTTTTCAAACTCACTTAAAATTCATCAAAATCGGTTTAGCCCTAAGATTTGCAGTCTTTCCAATGACATATTAATGCAAGTTTTTATTTAATTTTGAGGTACAGTCAGCAAAATTGGCACCAACTAATATAAGTAACAGCCTAAAGTGATGTTGGTATGTGATAAGTCAAATATGGACCAAACCAATAATTTATTCCACGTCAATTTCGCCTCCAACAAAAACAAACATACAGACATATTTCTTTTCCCTTATAAAAATAATATTCAAATTATTATTCAAATGTCAGGCTTATAAGCGAATAAAGCACTTTTAATAGTTTTGATTCACGTTAATTACTACACGAATACTATTCGGGCTTCCGTTCAATTCCGAATTTCCATAGATACTATTCGATAGTTCGTGAGGCTTAGCAAAAAAAAAATTCCCGCTAGAATCGAACATGGAATAAACTATGGAGGTTAAATGGCGTTATATTCAACAGTATATTAATCTAATTAAATGCTAGCGATGTCACAAATCACATATAAATTGTCCATGTTACATCGTATGTTAAATCATTTGTCTGGACATCGCGTGCCGCATTTTTCTTTCCCACGACTCTGCTTCCGCCCAAGAATGCCGCACGTCACGGAATAACTGAAAAAAAAATAAACGTTTAAATTTGATTAGAGCCCCCCCCGCCCCCATGTAACGCACCGTAACGTTTTTCTGTACCCAATAGTAAAACGTTTCGTGACCACCCAGTGACTCTTTATAACTAAAAGTTACCATTATGTGGTGTTAAGTACTGGAAAATCTAAAATAATATTAACAATAACGCGTAATTCAATCCCCGCCCCGCCCCGCCCCGCATCGTTTTACAAGAGGAACCCCCCCCTAAATTCGTTAATAATGCTAGAACGCTCTATTATTGTTTTATTATTAACAAATAACAAGTCCAAACAGGTCACCTGTTTGGACCTAAATCAATACGAATCCATAAAAAAAATTTATTTTTTTGAAATGGCTGCCCTGTAAAGTTTACTATTTGTCAGATCCGTCACTAATCTAATAGGCAAGTAGGAGATCAGCCTCCAGTGCCTGGCACACGCCGTCGACTTTTTGGGTCTAAAACATGTCGGTTTCCTCACGATATTTTCCTTCACCGTTCGAGAAAATGTTAGATGCGCACATACAAAGAAAGTACATTGGTGCACAGCCGGGGCTCGAACCTCAGGTATGAGAGTCGCACGCTGAAGCCACTAGGCCAACACTGCTAAATCCACTTTTAGTTTAAGTTATTTTGTGTAAAATTTTAAGTTGAGACTTAGCACGAAATCTCGTTTCTGACTCTTACCCCGTGACCCATGGTTCTTTCTTTAGCATACCCGTTTGGCTCCATTCGGAAGAATGACTAAAGGAAATGTTCAGCCCACTCACCTGGGAGAGCCACGGCTCATCAGCCAGCAGCTCATTGAGTATGGCAGTGGTATCTTTGCTGGGGTTCTGCATTCGCTTCTCGGCTACACGTTTGCTGCATTCAGTGTACATCAGGTACTTCTGGTGAGATATCTTCGTGTACAATTGAACTCTGCCGCAGCAGGCCGCACACACTAGGAACTCCTGGAATTTATGTTATAAATCTATTTAACTCACTTAATTCAGCTAATATAAATGTTGGAGAATATTTTAGTGGTAACCTTAAAAATAAAATTATTTTTTTTTGGCCGTTCAAGTAATACTGTCGTATTGAGAAAAACCAAGCATTAGGATCTTTATAGAAACATTTTGTTTTATAATAGAGAAATCTCCTATACCATATATTGAAACTACAATAAATTCCATTTAAAACGCAGATGAATAATAATAATAATAACTTATTTATTGCAAGAATATGGTACAAAAATTGTGGTACAATCGTAAATCGTTCGCATATTCTGCCACACACGATGGCGCGCAAATTTGTCCTTAGGAATTTTACATTATCAGTCAAAGTCAATTCTTATATTATCTGTATCGTAAATATCATACTTTATTAAATTTTTTCCAAAAGTAATACACTAAGTCGCTTTATAAAGACTCTAGACGGAAGATCTTTTAATTCTTTTGGTAATTTATTGTAAACTTTAATTGCCATACAAAAGGTGTTTTTTCGTAACAGTTCCAGATTTATTTTTGGCAAAGCCAATTTCTCCCCATGTCTACTTCTTACTTCGACTTAAATAGAAATATAAATAATAATAATAAATAAGAAAGTCGATAAAATATTTATGTAGTTTTAGATGAAGGACCTTCTTTCTAACTCTTCCTCCGACCTAAAGGAACCTCAACCAGTTTAGTCAGTCCTGATTAGCGAGATGTATGTCACCGTAAAATTGTAAACACCGTTGGATCTATCTCGCGAGATTGTGAACTGTCGAAAGATTGTGAACCTCAACGCACTGCTTACAATTTAACGTATTATTATTCGGTAGATTGTAATCTATCGAAGTGAAACCGTCAAATTACAATCTTAAAATTGTCAAATTGTTAACTGTCCGAAGGCTGTTCCTGATTGGTCGGCTTTATAGTGGACCGTTCTATGTCTTAGAGTTAGGAATGAAACACGGGTATCAGTCAAATAAACTGAACGCACTTCAAGAATTGTGATATCAAGTATTTATTCATTACTTAGTAGGTAACCAAAAATTCCGACATCATAATCTCGCGAGATAGATTACAATCTAACGGTGTTTACAATTTTACGGTGACATATACTTCGATAGCGCGTTTCAAGAAGAAATGTATTGGCTTAAATCCATTAAAAATAAACATACCTTCTCATACGCCAGTCTTGCATCTGGCTGGACGGGTTCCAACGTAGCAGGGTTATAAGGCTGTCCGTAGAGCAATAGTCTTGCAACTGCCGGCCGCACACACGCTCTACAAACACCATTTCCAGCTGCCACACTTAAGCCTGGCCATGTGGCTACCGCAGCATCCAAAGACCGGGATCCATTACCGCCACCACAGACCCCACTTGAGACGCGTGTTCTCATGGTCTCTGTGACCTCGTCTACCGTTTTTACGTTCGATAGGAAGTACTCGTCTGTAAATATTAGCGGCCGTCTAAATGCGTGAATGTGTATGTATCACAGTCGTGTAAAAGATCGTGACAAAATATTTATACACTGGTTTGGTTAGTTTATAAATAAGTATTTGTTGTAATGTAGATATTTATTGGCTGAAAATTCTATCTCAAACAGTTTTGCGATCTAAATATCGTTATTTATGAGTGTCTGATTAACCCGAAAAATTAAGGCTTTCTAGTGTTAGGCGGATTTGCAAAGTAAATCTGAGAAAAAACGGTCAAACGAAATCTAAGTAGAGAAAACTTGTTAATGTTAACATAATATGTCAAACTTATATCTTAATATATATAAATTACGCGTCACGTTGTTTGTCCGCTATGGCTTTAAACTACTGAACCGATTTCAATCAAATTTGTATACCGTGAGCAGTTTGATCTAACTTAAAAGATAGGAGCTCACATCTCAATTTATACCCGCAATATTATTTTATTGCAAAATATTTTTGAAGTTATACTTCGTTAGGTGCGTTATGAAAAATTGATGAGAGTGAAATTTTACGATGCGCGCGCACCGTGACACAACATTAACAGAATGAAGTTGCCCACGGAAGATGCTACGGCATTGGACATAATTTAAAAACAACATTCGAATAATAATATAATTTATGTTACACTTAATGTAAGAAAATAATAATAAATATCTATTTATTTAATTTTTCAAATGTAAACTGAACTTTATTGACTATAATGACTCCTTTTCCAGTCTTTAGTTTAATTGTAATTAATTATTTGCATGCAATCAAAAACTATTTTTAATAATGCCAAAGAAGTATAACTTCTTACGCGCGTACATAAGTACACGCATCCTTTTTTTTATTATTTAATAGTCACAATTCTAACAGATGGCGCTGTGTTGAAAGTACTAACGCTTCACACAAACAAAAGTTGTGGTTTCTATGACTGGTGTTCTCCTACCGTTTCCCTTGAATAGTTTACTACTATGTAATATAACAAAAACCTTAGCCACAGCAACGCTTGGCCGGTCTGCCAGTATTATATAAAAAATCCTACGACGCTTCTACTGTTCGTGAAACTACTGCACGGAATTTATCGTAGTTTTCACTAATATTGAATTTGAGGTTTAGGTAGATATTTTTTTAATGTTTACCGTTTTTAACAGTGAACTGGTGAAATATGAATGCAAAATATATGTTGTTATTAATTCTACAAAAAAATATTTAGTATCTGTTTAGTTACTTTTTTACGTTTAGTTCACAAAAGCCTTGTGAACTAATATGGCAACAAAATTGAATTCAAAGAAAGTCAAGTCAAATTTTCCACTAAATATTATTTTAGGTAAATAGGTAATTAAGTGTACACAAGTGCGTACGAAAACTCAATGTAGGCCGATGATATTTACATATTTTAGAAAAAATACTCTTTAGCCTTGGTTAGCGGCCTCTGAACATTCGTCACGAATATAGATCCTTCGAAACCTTTTCTAACTTAAAGATTTAACATTTATAGCCTCGTTCTGGTCGCGTTGGTAGACACAGAAAACCATGCCTTCAAATCAAACACAGAAATATGTCTGCCCTATGTCTCAGAGGAAACGGGACGAGAAGTACTGTTGAATGCTATATAATATTAAATATGGGTTTCCATAAATTTCCCAATTAGTTTGCCTTACGAATCTTTATAAATAAAAGTGAATCGCAAAACGTTAAGCACAAATCTCGAAGACGACTGGACCCAGTCGAGTACGTTTTTAAGTTAATTTCTTCAACTCTTAGGAACGTTTTTATGACGAGAAAAATTTGAAATATGTATATAAAAAGAGGAAAATTAGTCTCTAAAGGGTAGCATAGAAAAATGTTCATATGTTGGTATGTACTATAAGGTTGGCTAAATAAAAAAAGCGACGGCTTGCACTCCGGGAGTGCCGGCAGAAGTGAAAACTTGAATATTAACGTTCTGCATTTTTGATATTTTGGAATGGTTAGGGAATAATTTTGCACGAATTGCTTCAATTATCAGTATAAAAGTACTATCATTCATGTGGTAGAATACAATATTTATTTATTGCGCTATCGTACCAACGTACAACGTACAACCATGACAATTTATATTACATTAAATACGCTGCGCCAGCTACTCTCCATCCGTCTTACGAATTTTCGATCACGTCACGTGTCCTGACGCGAGTTTAACAATTTTTACCCATTCCAAAAAAAGGTTTACAACGCCGCTAAAGAAGGTTTCACTTCAAAAATATTAAGGCGAAACGATGTTCGCGAGGGCAGCTATATAATCGATATACTCACCCTGTTCCTGAAATATTTCTGTAAGGAAATTAGGGTCTAAGGCGTGTGATATTAGCGTTTGTATATACACTTCGAAGTTCTCTTGATACATTTGGGTCTCAAGCATCCGTTTCTCTATGAAATGGCAGTCGTCTCCTTGGAGTTCACTTCTCACTAACTCTACAATTGTTTCGAGGTGGGTTTGGGACCGAATTTTCACTTGCACTTGTGTATATAATTTCTTGTTTTCGGGATTCCATACTGTATACTGAAATGTCAATAGGATGGGCCGATGAATGCATAAAATGAGCATTATTGTGTCATAATTATTATCTCATACATACAAAAAAAAATGTAGTTTTTTTAAGTAATTTTGCTATGTATTTCCACTAGAGGTAAGGTTAGCAAATTAGGGAGCGTTCAAATATTACGTAACGAAGGTAGGGGGTGTCTTGTAAGAAGTTACAAAGCGTGAAGTGGGGTTTGAACTACGCGTTACTAAGCAATGTTTTGAATAATATTAACGCGATTCAAAGCTTAATAATATTTTAGTAACTTAACCCACGCCTTTTATGTAAAAATGGTCACGAAAATTTCCAAAAACTGGGTTACGTAATACTTGAACGCTCCCTTACCAAAAAAGAAAAAAACATTACCGTCGATATATTCCTGTACAAAACTTTTCCGTTATCTTCGAAGGGCTCGTACTTTTGTAATAGCGTTTTTCCGTCTACCCTCCATATCGTAGGCCACATTTCTGCCAATTCATTTTTTAACGCTACGAACTCTCCGGACTGAAAATATAAATTACATAAATCGATAAATTTGAAACGCCATAACAATAGACATTTAAATTCGGACATAGAATCTCCACAAGGATGTGTTAATAGCGAATTTAGATTAAAAAAATAGTTTAAAAGGGACCAAACCAAATTATAGTAGACTTCATTACTTATACTGCTAACTTTAGTAATATTATTATTTTCTACTATGTGTTAATTTATTCTTTTTTTTTGCGACTGACGCGCAAACTAGCTGATGTGGTCTCTGGTAGAATGACCAGCGCTGTGGAACATTCTGCTCCTCAGCATAATGCTGAGCTAGGGCCAATTACAGCCACAGCATACACGCATTACATACTTGAGACGAACCGAATGGGAAAAGGAAATTTTTTTTTATTATCTCTCATTTTATCTTTTATTTAATGTTTTCTCTTTGATTATTGTTATGTTTGTAATAAATGATATGTCTATGTCTATGAAACCGTTGGTCGCTTTATGACAATAGGAGTGTTCCACACATGCATTTTCAGCCCTTAAGTGAACCGCTCTTACGTACGTCATCTGGATGAAACAGCACTACTTTTATACGGTAAATAGGTTTAGTAATTTAAGGTGTATACTACTAGATAAATAACGAAAATGTAACTATATATGTCCAAAAATAAATAAAATAACAAACGCAACAATTAATTAGAATTAAACGCACAAAATAAATTAACGATTTGATGAATGTAATAACATAAATAAGGAAAATATTTTCTGATAATTTCTCAGAATTGATATCTTTACCAGAAAAAAAATCCGATAAAAGCATCTATTAAAAACTAACTGGCCTGGCGAACATCGTACCGCCTAACAGTCGATTCTTTATTTTTTTAAATACTTATTCTGCTATTCGGGACACCGGTCTAGCTAGTAAGATAAAAAAAAGAAAGTTGATAATACAACAAATACATTATGTCAAAAAATAAAAATTTACCTTCCCGGAACCCCTCCACTAACACTTGAACTTTATGCTATGGTATTAAAGTTCAAATTGCCTTTAAATATTATTACGAATATTTTGTATGGGAATATAGAAAAGTGTTGTTTTTAGACTTTCTCACTCAATTTTTTTTAATTTTTCTCTCCGTAAGAACCATCCTCGTACTTCAAGGAATATTATAAAAAAGGAATCAGACAAATCGGTCAAGCCGTTTTCATGTTATGTCGTGACAACGGAAAACGGGTTTCATTTTTATATATATAGATAACCCAACTTATAATCTCCTCTTTAAATTAAATGGGCATTCGATAATAATCCAGTGGCACTACAACCCTATATCCCTATCCTTTTCATTGATAATAATTTTTATTCCATAGACTAGGTGATCAGCCTTCTATCTGACACATGCCAATTTTTGGATTTGAGACATGCCGGTTTCCCCTTAATATTTTCCTTCATCGTACGAGCGAGTGTTAAATGGGCACAGACAGGAAGTCCATTGGTGCACACACGGGGACTGAACCTTCGACCTTGCATGAGAGTAGCATAATGACGCAACTAGACCAACACTATTTTTGCTGCTAAATAATGTTTTTGGTTTAATTAAAATGTATATAAATACACTATTTTGTTTCTCTAAAATTAAAAATATAAAACCTTATTTTCAAACATTCGCCCAGCGGTTTACGACCGCTAAGGTAAGCATAGATAGGTGTTGAATCTCTTAATTCGGTAACACCAAAGGTTGTTTTGATAATGCCAGCTCTGATTAGCAGAGGAAATCTATGCGAGTTCAAACACCCCACATACTTATACAATGGTATTTTCACTTTGGATATCAAAGGGGGTCACACACTAATAATAAATAGCTAGAGATAATAAGCATTTACCTGATAAGGCATTTCTTCAATGGGCCGTGAATTATCTATTTGACCGGTATTGGGAATTTGTTGATGAGTTTTAATATTATGCAACTTTCGGTTTGAGTTCGCATCATTTTCCGTCGATCCGTAACCATATCCCAAAGCACCAGAATGAGCACCTACTAACATAGAAACTTGTTATAAAATATTAAGTAATTTACAATTAATATTAATAAAAATATATTACCTGTAATCCAAGTTATTAACCTAATTTTTTATATAAAAAAATATAAAAATTGAGAAAATATGGCAGGATGGGAAGGGAAGGGATGGTGACGAACTTCACCAATGTGGATAACATGTGCACGTTATACCATATGTTACGAGTATTACAAATTTATTTATTCACTAATAAATAACGCATTAACAATGGACATGTTATCCTAAATCGGCGAATTGAAGGGTGCTACCAGGAATAATTACAAACTAAAATTATGTAACACAATAATCAGTAATATACTCGCATTTATTTTATGATTTTCCTTCTATTATACAAAAGTATTTACATAGAATATTGAGAATTGTGCATAAACAAATAACAAATAGAAATACAAAACGTATATTCCGGGCATGTCCTTCTAAATACATATTTTCTCAGCTTAACCGTCAAATTATTATGCAGTTCGTCTTCCTTATAATATAAAATCACTTTGCTAACAGCGAAATATGAATACACTATCATAAGTACAAACTAAACCGAATACTGTAAATACAATAAATTTTATATTTACAAGACACCCACTGGTATCAAACCCATAGAAAAATATACCACATTTTTGGAATTATTTATGGTAGCACCCCTTCAAAAGCGAGTATGACAAGAGTCACAATTTCTACAATTTACAATTAAATGGCACTAATAACGTGTCATAAACAACAATCATTGTGAAATCTTGTTACAGAGTAACCCTAAAATATCGAACTCTAAGATAGATACATCACATTTTATCATAGAAACTATTTACAGGCAATAATAATAATAGATTTCATCTAATAAAAATTTACATATCACAGTTAAAGTGTAACAAGTTTTCACGTTTGGCTGCCGAAGCAGTTAGCTTGCTCCTGTCATACAAGCCTCAGGGCTAGTTCTTCACCATCGCGCTCTACTTCTCAAATGGAAATCTAGTAAATTGAACGCACCTTCGTCGGGCTGGTGCTGGTAATAGTACTGCTGCTGCGGCACCGGCTGCAGCGCAGGCGCGGGGGCCGGGGCTCGGGGTTTCTTGGCTGAGGCGGGCTGAGGCGCTACGGCCGCCGACGGAGGCGCTTTGCTCAGCGCCGCACGCCCTTTCTTCGCCTTGTCGTTCAGCGGCGTACTGGGCACGTTCAGCACTGGCTTGTTCATCCGCCGCGCTTCCTCCTCGGCGTCGTAGGCGGTCTCTTCGGTGCCGTCGTACTTTCTCTTTCTGTCCTTATTCAAATGGTAATATCTCGGGTCATCCAACTCGACGCCTTTCGGCTGCGAACCCAACAGGTTCGACTGAGCTCCGTGCAGCTGATTAGCACCCAATAGACCCGCGGTGTTCATCCCCGCCGCCGGACTCATCACCGGGTTGTTTAGAGCCATCCCGGCATTTAGCACGCTCGAGGAGGCCATCGCGCCATTCGCACTTTGGGTTGTGTTTGCCTCGCATGGGTTTTTTGCAACATCATTGGGGTTAAATGCCTTGTTATTGACAGTATTACTATTTGTGTTCGTTCTCGACCACGTAGACTTTCGAGCGCCTCGGCCGGCCGGCGGAGGAGACGTGTCGCGTTCTCCTTGCAAAAATTTTAAATAAGAAGCCATGAAGCCCGACCCCGGGCCCGTGACGGGAACGTTGAATTTTTTTTCCATTACTTTCGAAGTAGCGTCTTGCGAGGCACTGTTAAGATTCTGCTGCTGTGAAGTGGGTGCTACCGTCGTCGAAGTGTTAGCGCGTTGTTCTGCAAGGAAACCGAGTTCTTCCTCTATATTGGGTACTACCACCTTGGGCTGTTCCTCCTCACGAGTTTCAGGAGTTGAAAACGATGACGAGGAAGCCGAAGGTGGAGTTTCACTGAATGAAGATAAAGGTGTTAACTCCACAGAGGATTGGAAGTCAGGATGGGGTCCTAAGTGAAATGGTGGAAAATATGTTAATGCATGACTGTGCTGCATTGCCAAGGCTTGATGTTGGTTAAAATTACTAGCATGTAAAGGGGCCTGAGAACCAAAAGCTGAAGTACCGGGGAACATTTTTGGAGGTGGGGGAGGAAGGTTCCATCTCTCAAAGTCAAAAAAGCTGCTGTTTTGCTGTTGGTTATTTGTTGAACTATGAGCTGGTGGCGGTATTCTACTAGCTAAGTAGTCGGCCATAACTGCAGCATTGGTAAGTTCATTTGAATGTGGTATAGGTTTTTCAGTACTTTTTCTTCTGGTAACTTTAGCTACTGGAGGGGCACTCACTACAGGTGTTACGGTTTTACTTGGTTTTGATTCTTGTACTTGACAACTTTGTTGTAGGCTTTGTAAATTCTTAACTATACTCATAGGATCACCGCGACAGCTAGATAAATCCTGTAAAGCTACATTATTACTATCAAAGCAATTAGGTTTTTCACTTAAGCCTAGGGTCCTATCCATAGAATTTTGAGATTGAGACGTTGTCTTTTCATTATGAGTATTATTTTCCGATATATTACTATAATTAGTAGAGCTTCCACCGGTATTACCATTACTAGCAAATTTTCTTTGCCGTTCAGACTCCCAGCAGTTGGGTGCAGAATTTTGGTTACGGTCATACCGATTTTCATTAAATGACTTAGCTTGTTCAATACCTAATGCCCTTGTGATAACTGAAGGATAGGCAACTTGACTATTTTGAGATGGGGGTCTTGATATAGATGCATCTAAAGGAGATCTTGGTGCAGCATTATTTACTTTACCATAATGATCTCCATGTTGTGGCGAATGAATAGAATTCATAGGACTGTGATAAATGGGATAGGCAGGGCTAGACCTATGACCTAAAGGTGAGGTTTGTGGGGCTACTTGCAAAGGACTCTGTCGTTTGGCTGCACCTATACTACAATCGGGACCATTTTGAGAGCTACTACTAGAATAACCAGTGTCAGTGCTAGAACTGCTTTTGGCTCTTACATGATATTCAGTTTCAACATTATTACCACTTTGGTAATGTCTGAAACTGGAAGTCTGGGATGATGAGTAAGGAGAGTTACCTATTCTATTTGACTTAGAACTTCCATTAGAACTGTTATAACTTAACCTACCGGGAGCATCCATAATTGAATAACTAATAGGAGAAGATTGTGGCTGAAGTTTATCTATGGATTCACAACTCTTTCTTTGTTCACTGTTAATCTCAGGATAAACTTTACTTTGAGCTTTAGTTTGAACCTGGGGAGGTTTGGGTGTGGGAGATACAAAACCACTACTACTGTTGGTTGGTCGGGATGGTTTTTCACTACTGGCACTTTTGGGGGACTGGGAATTATAAATGGATGAGGGGCGAGTTGAGTTGGAAGATGAGGAACGGAAGTCTTTAGTTGGAGGGGTCGAGGAAGAAGTCACAGGTGGAGTTGACACAATACAAGTTTGTTGTGAATGAGCACTTGAACTTGCAGAACTTGAATATGACTTACTTCCCGCATAATCCTGTTGTGTTGAAAGTCCACTTTTAGAACCACTTGTACTATATGAATTGTCACTTTGATTTCCGTAACTTGTAGGAGATTGGAAAAATGTTGACGGTGCTGAAGATACAGGTTGTTTAGCTGCAGTCGCTGGGGAGCCCGACCTGTTTGTTTGTTTACCAGCATTGGTAATTTGTGAGTTTATGTGATTATTTAAAGTCTGAGCTGCAGCAAAATGAGCATTAAAATTTTCATAAGTTGCCCCTGATTTTGTTGTAGCTGGGCTGGGTGATGACGGCACAACACTTTCATGAGGTAGAATTCCAAATGGACTTGGTAGTTGATTATTGCCCTGCCAACTTAGGCCTGCTGTACCACCAGGAGTTGTAGGCTGATCAAAAAATGAAGTCCCTTGTGCGGCAATTGCCTGATGAGAATAGTTCTCTCTTAATGAGGATAGTTCCGTTTCTACAGATGACTGCTTAGAAGCCACAGCAGCTTGAGCTTGTGCTATGACTTGGCGGTGTTGTAAAGAAGAACTGTAGTGTGCTGGTTTAGGATTTGGGTGGTGAAATAATGGCGAGAAAACAGCATCATAACTTACAGCTGGTGGAGACAAAAAACTACTAGGATTAAATGGTGATGCAGTAGTAGAGCCCAATTGGCCTGCAAGTGATGCAGTTGTATGAGCTGCCTGCAGTAACAATTGGCTTGTGGTTGAGGGCACCGATTGGCTGCCTAAACCTGTTCCACTGCTTGCCAGGTGGTGATGAAAATCTCCACTTGCAGCACCAGCCTGAACACCAGATAGCCGATTGTATGTAGCATATGCTGACCATGGTCCTACTGGATCCATTACCACCTCCGTCTTGTTATTGTTTTTTTATAATATCAATATAAGTCCACACTTTCATCCATAATTTAAATTACAAATGTAAAATTATCAAATACCACTAAATGCAGCACTTGTTATCATCTTTTTAGATATTTCCTCTATGTACTTGAATTGCACTCCTGAAAAGAAACAACATGTCATTAATAAACAATAACAATGATGGGCATCTTATAAGAGACAAATTGTAGTATATATTTCGGTGTTTATTCTTCGAAAACTTTTATAGAAAATAAAACTGTTTATACAACATATCTCTTATGACGAAGTAAGTAGACGATGAATCGAATGCTGATCATAATTTGCCGCTCATACAGAAGCGTCAATGCGCTTCAAAATACTTACACCCAGGTTATGGATCGTTTGTAATAAATTTAAAGACTGAAGCTTGAGGAAACGTACCATCTCTTTAGTTTTGTTATAAATAATGTCAATGTGGTTTCAGTGGACGCTCACAAAACAGATAACATCGTAAATATGGCCTCGACTAGACTCTTCTTGTGCTCGTGACGACGGGTTTTGTCTATTGTGAAACGGAGAAGCACTTGAACCGTCATAAATTAGTCACAAAACTGTCACGTATTTTCGATACTGCGAAATAAATATACGTCGCGGTTCTTATTGTTATTGAACGTTTGAAAACTGCTGCTACTTTTATTTACAAGCAGAAAAATTACAACGTTTCGCCTTTCACATTAATCGCCGCCATCTTACTTGTCTTATGTCGAATGAAAAACCGGACAACAAGCCGTGCAGCGCCCTCTACATGGCAATGGTGTTTTTTTTTATTTTTTTGACATATTTAACTTTTATCTGTGGTAATATTACAGACAGACAGATATTATACAGATATCTTCTATATAAACAGAGTGGTTTCATGTCACAGATTGTGAAAGTAAGTAGATGTAGTGCGTTTTCCAATTACAGAGCATTTTGCGACTCAGTGCCGCACAATGCCGCATAATGCTGAAGCTTAATTGGAACGTGAATTAGTTTTCAAATGCATCAGCAGAGTGCGCTAAGTCAGTGTTGACAAAAAAATGGTCTGAATAGAGTTAGCAACCTCATTAATGTATAAATAATGTGGTAAACAATAATAATTGGTTGAAAACTTTTTACGCTTATTTTAATCATCAAATTATTTCATTAACATTTTTTTTATTGAAATAATAGAAAACCTTTAAAGAATATAAGGTTTTAACAAGCTAAATTAACAGTAAAATATTTAGTTTCATGTAAGAAGTTTACATCATTTACGTTTTTAGTAATATTTTTTAATGATTTCTAAAAAATCCTGTAAAATAAATTTGTTTACAGATCCTAATTTTAAAATAAAATTGTATTCATATTTTAAATGTGGAATATAAAAAAAGTAACTATTTATCATCCATACTAATATTTTTTTTTAGCAGTTTGAAATAACTTTAATTATTTTCAAAATCTACGACGAAACGAAAGCCTTACAAATTTTTCAACAATAAATAATATTTACTAACGAAAATTTCGATAAATGCCAACTTAAAGAAAAATACTGGTCAATTTTCTGTCACTGTGTTGGTATTGTTTGCGAGAAGCTCGCGAGAGCATTCGTTTTGAGAGTGCTCAATAATTGTGCGAAGCGTTGCTGTAGTTGGAACACTCGACGTTGAGCATTATGCCGCAAAATGCGCTTTAGTGCTGTAATTGGAAAACGCACGTAATCAATACTTTGGTATAGAATAAAAATAATAGTTACAGTAGGGATGTGACATTCTGCATAAAAAAAAATCAAATAGCATGAAAAATCGATTAATAAATAATCTATTTTTTTTTATTAATCGATTTTTTCCTAATTTTGAATTAATTTCAAAATAAACACCCTAAATATTTTATTTTTCATGGTTTTTTAAATTAAAAATAAACAATAGAAATTATAAACACAAATTAATGTTTAAGATTAATCAAAATCGAAATTAACTTAATCTCGTTTTGATAGATTTTGATAAATGCTGAGTGTGATTTTGAAAATGAATTCCTTTTCAGTAGCATATTGCAGTATTTTTGTTGTCTTTTTAATTGTATGTAGTCTTGTGCTGCTGAATAAATTTATTTTACTTTTAAATTATATTGTTCCATTCAAACTTGAGTTTTTGTAAAGTTAACTGCTTTTATCATCCTTTTGATGTTTTACAAAAAAAAATCAATGTATCGAGTATATCAATACATCTCCAAAGAATCGGATTCAATGTCTCGCATTGTAAACATCGTTGTGTATCGAATATCCCTAATAGTTCGAGGTCCGGGTTATAAAAGACCAGACATAATTTCGGGAGGTGGCAGATAAAAAATCGATTATGACTGATTTTCAATTATAAAAATAATCGATTATTTTAAATATAAAAATCGCGTAAAAAAATCGATTATTTTTTTAAGAAAAATCGATTATTTATTAATCGATTTTTTCCTAATTTTTGAATTAATTTCAAAATAAATACCCTAAATATTTTAATTCCATAGTTTTTTAAATTAAAAATAAACAATAGAAATTATAAACACAAATTAACGTTTAAGAATAATCACAATCGAAATTAACTTAATCTCGTTTTGATAGATTTTGATAACTGCTGAGTGTATTCCTTTTCAGTAGCACATTGCAGTATTTTTGTTGTCTTTTTAATTGTATGTAGTCTTGTGCTGCTGAATAAATTTATTTTACTTTTAAATTATAGCGTTCCATTCAAACTTGAGTTTTTGTAAAATTAACTGCTTTTATCATCCTTTTGATGTTTTACAAAAAAAAACAATGTATCGAGTATATCAATACAATATCTCCAAAGAATCGGATTCAATGTCTCGCATTGTAAACATCGTTGTGTATCGAATATCCCTAATACACTTCTGGACACATCTATTGGCCCACCTTGCATTTTCAGTTTCTTTTGGTCCTACCTAAAAATTTATATTAGGTCAAGTAAAAAGTTTTTATGCAGTTTTGAACCTGGCACATTCATAATTGCATTCAATATTTTTTTTTAATTTCGAACACAGAATTTAAAGAAACAAAAGACAATTTGGAGCCTGCTCATTGATATCAAACAATCGAATACTAAGAAAACTTGATTTTATTGGTTTAGTTGGATTTAATTCTTGAAAGTGTGATTTTTCTCTTTGGTTTTGCAACAAACATTACTTATTCTTAACATTAAGATGAGGTTCTATCAATAATCTATGGATACTTCGCCTGAAGTCGCCGCCCAAGCTGTGGCACTTATCCGGGCCGGACACAGCCAAAGAAATGTGGGTGATCAACTTAATTTAAGTCGATCTGCGGTCCGAAACGTTTATCGGAGATACCTAGAGACTGGCGGCTTTGTTCGTCGCCAAGGAAGGCCACGATTATTTTTTTAAGAAAAATCGATTTTTTATTAATCGATTATTCATGCTACAAAAATAATCGATTAATAAAAAATCGATTTTTTATGCAGAATGTCACATCCCTAGCGCGCCTTCATTTCGCGCGCTCACACTTAAATTGGACTCAGCAGCATTGGAACGGTGTACTCTTTTCTGATGAGTCTAAAATTGCGTTACATGGCAATGATGGAAGGAAGGTCTACCGACGTATGGGAGAGCGTTTTGCACAATGCTGCTTTGAAGAGAGGGGTGCTTATGGCGGTGGCTCATGGACTGTCTGGGGCGGTATATCCGCGAGCGGCAAAACTCAACTTGAGGTTCTTACGGGACCACGGCTGCCAACATTGAATGCTGAAAGGTACATTCTTGAGTGCTTAGAACCTCACGTGATGCCATACGCGGACTATGTGGGCCCAAATTTCCTTTTTATGCATGATAATGCAAGAGCCCATACGGCCGGCATCGTCAGAGAATATCTTCGGGATGTGAACATCGCAGTTATGGACTGGCCAGCCAGAAGCCCAGATATGAACCCCATTGAGCACATGTGGGATGAGCTAAAAATACGTGTTAGGGCTCGTCAGCCAGTTGCCCAGACGATGCAGGAATTGAAAACTGCCATAGAAGTGAAATGCGAGATGATCCCTCAAAATTTCATAGAGCGGTTGATAAACTCTATGCCTAATCGTATGAGAGCTGTCGTAGATGCCCATGGAGGCAACACGCGTTATTAAATTAAACCTTTATTTGATAAAACACGTCTTTTATTCAAAAATCAACTGACTTCATCAAGGCGCATACCCGACTTGTTAGGCGTATCTCCATGTGGTGTGGTATTCTAAATTCAAATTTAAAACAATACGATCGAAAAAGATGGTAAAATGTATCAGGTTCAAAACTGCATAAAAACTTTTTACTCGATCTAATATAAATTTTTAGGTAGGACCAAAAGAAACTGAAACTGCAAGGTGGGCCAATATATGTGTCCAGAAGTATAGTTCAAGGTCCGGGTTATAAAAGACATAATGTCGGGAGGTGGCAGATAAAAAATCGATTATGACTGATTTTCAATTACAAAAATAATCGATTATTTTAAATATAAAAATCGCGTAAAAAAATCGATTTTTACTTTTATAATCGATTATTTTTTCACATCCCTAACTGTTACAGTATTGAGTATTATTTTCATTGTTAATATGAAACACTGGGGGTCTTAATAATATATTTAAATAAAGAATGTCCACCACTTTATATATAACACAAAAAGCGTTAGTTGTTACAAACTAACCTTTGCTGTGTAAGAAGTCCTAACACTAATAATATTTTATTATTCAATAGATATTTTTTTGTGGCCCGGCTTAATGGAACATAAATACATAATGCTTACCATGCTTCTATACACAAACTGGAATAAGGGGCTGATAAACAAAATGGTTACTTACCTTCAAATAGCAATATTTTAAATTTCATGAAAATAGAAACCATTTTAGATATGTATTTTATTTTGTTGTTTGAGAAGGGTTAAAAAAAATGTATATTATAGAGCTAACAGTCCAAGTCTTCACTGACTGTTTATAATAAAACAAAAAGTACCTAATTAACACATTTATTATAGGTTATAAGTATTAATGTTACAGCAAAATAATGCTTTCTAACTATACTTTTTAGCCACTAGGTATGCTCTTTGGTTCCGATAAGATACATAAAATGATTTTAGGAAGACTTAGATAAATTGATGCAAATTTCAAAAATATTTATGATTTTCTTATAAATTATTGTTGCCTTTCAAACTATTGATATAATATGTACCATAACATTACACAAGTAATCAAGGAAGTAGATCCGGAGTATTCTATTAACCATGGCAGTCAAGCCGACCAAACTTACTGCTTTCTTCATTCATAGCAGACTATGAATCGTTATTTAGAAGCCGAGCTCTATAAACAATGAATTTCTAAATTTACTTTAGAAAAGAGTATCTTTCAAATGAGAAATCTATAGACAAACTTACGATGCGTCCTGCGTAGCAATAAGAAAAAGGAGGTACTGTATCCTAAGACACGTCCAAAGAGTATAGTAAATATTGTTACAATATTTTTTGTCAACGTCATTGTACAATATTTCGTATATTTAATATTTCAGGATAATAAAATAGCTCGCCTCTCATAACTGATGACCGCGACTATACGCTGTTGATTAATCTAATCTACATACAAGAATTATTTTTTTACGTTTACACAATATAATCGAGTTCCGTGAGATCTGTGCCGTCAAGAATACAAAACGTAATCCATTTTTAAATGTAAACATAAGCAATTTTTTTTACAAATACTTATCAGAATATGAAACATATTGGGATTGTTATGTTGTCTATACCTGTACCACATATCACACTCGTGTCAACAATTTTACACATGACGAATGACAGTACTATTAGAAACCGCGCCATCTAGTGGACAGTAATAGAATAAATTACATACAGTACAATTCATTTAAGACGATTTCCCAGAAACTCAAAACGCTCGCGGAAAAGCGTTTTAAGCGGGTTTTGACTGTAATGCAAATCATACTTGTCGTGATAGTCACTTTAAAACCGCGCCATCTGTTAGATACTATACGAAATAGCTGAATATAATGTCCAGATAATGAACTTAAAGTAATAGACAAACCTTATTTAATAAAAAGAACTATGAGCTACAAAATTGTGGAATCAGAAATTGTATTTCATTTTGGCACATGAAAACGTAACTAGACGGATATAATGAAAACAGCACAAATTGTTTACAATTATTGTGCAGGACGGCACTTAAAATTACATTATTCAATATTAAACGATTAAAAAAACACTAAAAAATTAACAATAATTTATAAATTCATAAACAGCATTTTTTGTATACATTGACATTTTTGTGCTCTCCCTTTCTATCGTATTGTGCGTTCTCTATTGTATTAAGAGACAAAACAGTCATTGGTTAAGTAAGTTAAATATATAAACTCGATCGTAAGAGAGCTCTATTGCTAAACAACATAAAAATCGAAAAAATCCATTTGTTATTACCGTAACCAACGGGATGTGAAGCAGAAATTTTAACAACTAATTTTAGTTTAGTGTAAAATCCAAGATCCACACTAGTATTAACTTCAAACTGCCTAAAGCGTCAACATTATTCCACTTTGTTTTGCGTTGACAATAAAGTGTCTCAGACTCAATATAGAGTTTTGTTTCACTATTTTAATTGGTAATAAATTAATTCTATAAAAAATAAAATATATTCACTTAGACTCATGGTTCCCATACACTGGCAAGCAATTAAAATATCACTCATAAAATTAAGATGCTATTACGTTCATTAAAGAAACGAACTAAAATAAAAGTTAATGATTTAGCAAACAAGGCTGAAATTATTTAAATAAGTACACCACAGATACAATTGGAGACTAGTCTTTTGTCTATGATTGCTTCAATTATTTTACCTTATGGACGATATGTTTTATAGCTAACTTTTCAGTATTGTGTGATAGACGACTCTAACAATAAGAAAACAAAAACAGTACTTAAAGTTTAATGAACAGATATAGCTCGATTGCGATATGTCAAACATGACAGATGACGTATGTCGTTCGAGAGACGTCATTGACCAATCACATTCAGGCAAAACACTTTCCGTCTTCTCAATCAAATACCTTAAAATATCTTTGGTTTTTCAAATAACAAAAATAAAAACTAAAATAACAATGTTCAAAAAACCTTATCCTAATAAATCTAAAATCTTTTATGAGTATCGAATATAATATCGTTTTCTTATGAGTACTTTAGATTCTTTTCATGCAATTGAACGTATAACAGATGCCAACGAGTCGCTCAAATATAACAGCTACTCAAATTTCTTTTACGGATTTTGTTTGAATTATAAAAAAAATGGGTGTGAAAAAGGTTGACCCGGACATCCATTCGATTTACGCCCCGGGTACAATGCGAGAGCCTTAGTCACTGTCGGTACAGCAGATGATGTATTTGGGGCTTGTTGAGTCTCACAAACCCTCCTTCTCATTTTTACTACGAATAAAAAAGGTTTGAATTTTGCAGCGAGATAATAATTGTCATAAGAATTATACTCACTCTGGCAAAAACTAATTATTTAAATCTGTTATTTGAGCAGCCCTTATATTTGATTAGACATTTAATCTACTATTAAAATAAGAAAATATAAATAATATGTAAAATCGGACATATTTCTCTTAAAATTTCTAAATTTTGAGGTAAACAACGTTGAGAAAATTTAATTACCATAATTTCTGTCTAAAACTAAGCTAATAATACGCCTGAAATAGTACAATGTTTTGTCTTTATCACTCACAAATAAAAAAGTCACAATAAAATTTATAAAAAAAAAATGAATAATACAAAGATTTCTTTAAAGTAATTAGTAAAAATGCATAAAGTATAACGCATGTATCATACTCTTATATGACTAAAGCACTAAAAACAGATTCCAGAACGAAAAATATTAAACAATTTTATAAACCATCCCTATTTCAATTATATCTAGATGCCTTGCGCAATTGCGCTAACTTAAATTTGCTGGTGGGTCAAGTCAAGTCAAGTCAAGTCAAGTCAAGTCAAGTCAAGTCAAATCGTTTATTTCAATTAGACCATCTAAAATGGCACTTTTGAACGTCAACTCTTAATGCTTGACAGATGACATGTCAGTTTGACAATTTATTTTTGTAATTTAAAATTTCACATCGTTATATTATGTTATAATGCAAACTATCGTATACAGACTGTAGGTAACATTGTTTTGACAATTCTATGTTACCGACAGTCTGTGAACGAACATCAAATCAAATGTCAGTGCCATGTCATTTGTCAAGTTTGATTTGTACCGCAGTGATTTTGAGTTAGCGCCACGCGCGACAAATCTAAGAGCTATCAGTTAACGTTAGAAATTTTCCACCTCTTACTACAATTAAAGCAGGTTTGTTTAAACTTAAATACCTTGAGTTAACGAGTTTTCTAGAACAATATCAAATTCATCTAGCGGTTCCAATATTTGCCTCAAAAACGTAAGTAAACCACGCTTACGAAGGAAGCTTTGTTCTTCATACATTTCTGTGGTCACGCGGGTCATTGACATCGGTACAAGCATTCTATGAAGCCAATGTTCACTGAAAAGTAAAAAAAAAGAAATACAACTACACTACGCTTGGACAGGGGCTCAATTGTTAAATTTTGTTTGACGGCGACATTAATGCAGTCGTTAATTTAAACAGCGATGGCAACACTCTGCCCAGACTATGACAGGAGATATATAACCAAATAAAATATTTAATTAAAATACGTTCTCATTTTTTTAAACATTTTTACGTAGCTGCGTACAAGTAAATTTAATGCTCCATTCATCCAAAAGTCACAATTGCGAAGATATGATTGAGAATTTAAAGAAAACACTTTTTTACCGGATTGAAGTTATGTATCATAAACTTATAATTATTTTACATAATTTTAAATTTTTCCGACGTTTCGCGTGCTTTACAACGTGCGTGGTCACGGTGACTGAAGGCAAAAGGTGTTGAATGTTAAAAAGTATTGCAGCTGTAGAAAAAGTTGCATTATCTGTATTTATTTCCCCGGAGTTTATATCGACCAAAAGTTAAAACTCTATTTTTCGATAGAGGACACGTCGGAAAAAAATTTAAGAATGTAAAATAATTATCAGTTTATAATAATACATACCTTCAATCCGGTAAAAAAGTGTTTTCTTTAAATGTGTAAAAGTTATGTTAATAAAAGACAATCCTGATTGAGAATTGCCAAAGTAGAAGAATTTAAATAGATGTTAAATAACTTTAAGATCTATTGAAAATCACAATATTCAAATTTGGAAACCAAATACATACCGCAAGCTGAGACAAACAAATAACTGGAACTTCCCATCCTTTCCCAGAGTCCTTCCAACCGAATTGATCTCGTCCATTAAGTGGCAATAACACCTCCATATAGCTCTGTGCTCCTGGTCCTGCCGGCAATTGTACGCAACGCCACAACTCTTGTTCCCTTGTAAATTCCCCTCATCACACAAGCTCATCTTGAATTCGTCTTTCACTCTCACTGTTAAAGAAAATTCAAAACCTCATTCTAGAAAGATCGCAAAGGAAAATACGCCACAGATTTTAAGGTGTATTTCCGTTTTAGTATTGATCTAGAGCAGTGATTCCCAAAGTGGTCTATATGGACCCCTAGGGGTCTATGACAACCTGCAAGGGGTCTACGTCAGCGAAAAATAATTTGAGGGTTCATGAAATGAAAATGGGGGTCCACGATAGTGGATCTCAACACATACACTGATAGCACCTATTTACTTACATGATACTATCTTATAATATCAAAACATATACATTACAAACAAACAGATACAAAATTTTATTTTGAGTAGTTTTAATTTAAATTCAATTAATAAATGTATAAATTAACATGTGTTTTTACTTTAAGTTTTTAACACTAAACTTCACTACAGTTAGAAATTTACAGGAAATTAATATCAGGTAGGTAGGGGGTCTACCAAACACGGAAAAACATGGCAAGGGGTCTACGACACAAAAAAGTTTGGGGAACTCTGATCTAGAGTATCTATAACAGATGGCAAAAGGACGGGAGGCTGGTGTTAAGGGGGCCGCCCATGGTCACTGCTAGAAAGCTCGCGAGTGCGTTGCCGGCATTTAAGGAATTGATACGCTCTTTTCTTGGAGGAGACTAACAATTGGTTCGGAAATACTTCAATAGCGAACATTATTGAAATTTTCAATTATATAGGTAAGTTAGAATTCGGGAGCTTTATATTAAATTCAAATGGAGTATCTAAATAATGCTATCTATTGAAAGAAAATCCTGTGTACGAACATAATGCGTAGGTCTGAGTTTCATCATCGGACGTCGAGGCAGAATACGAAATTCCACCCGTATCACATCGACGTCCGCCGTTCCACAACTGAGAGTTTTTCAAGGCAGTTTTTCCGCTCACCACCACTTTGTGGAACCAGCTGCCCACTGACGTATTACCGAACCAACTCGACTTATGGTCCTTTAAGAAAAGAGCGTACCAATTCTTAAAAGGCAGGCAACGCACTCGCGAGCCTTCTGGCATTGAGTATCCATGGGCGACGGTATCACTTAACATCGGATGAGCCTCCTGCTAAAAAAAGGTTTATTAAAGAAATATTTTGGCTGTTCAAGAATGAATTCTATTAAAATACACCTGCAGAATAGTTACAGAAAAACTTACTAAAATAGTCCCAAATAAAGAGATTCTTCCCAAACAGTCTTGCAGATTTGAAACCACACAGAAACGCTTGCTCCAAACATTTAACCAAACCATTCTCGCCACACAATAACACGCTGAGTGAGTTGGCGTCTTTCTCCCGCTTTGTTTGATAATGCCATTTAACTATTGCATTAACGCAATCACCTAAAATATTGTGAAACAATGAAATGTACAGGACATATATCCGTTAGAGTAAGATACCAAAACAAAATAAATGCAAAATGAAAAATAAAGTGTTATTTTGAGAAATTCATGGAAAATAACTCGAAAATAAAAAACGCTAACGGTAATTTAGAATTAGTAATAGTACTAAATATATTTAAAAAAATAGTATCATTACTATAGCTAACACAAAAGCAAACTGTATTCAAAAATTATATCTTTTTTTATTTATTAAAGTGGTTATAAATATAATTAACCGAAAAATCAGAAAAATTTAGAACAAAGAAATAAATATTTTTTGTAGTCTTGTAATCCAGTGTTACGTCCCGTTATGATATACGTCAAGATATAGCCCTTGACTTGCGAACTGGTAGTAAATGTAAATTTACGATTAATTTAACTTGACGATTCAAAAGTGTACTTGGTTACCTACTTGAATAAAGATATTTTGAGTTTGAGTTTGAGTTTATATAGATATATATGAGCAAATTTATTTTCATAATCCCAAATAAATGAAAGGGTTTCAGTCACGCTTTAGACATCGTCAATTATGATTTAATTATATACAAGTAGTTTAAACCATACAATCGTTAAAAACTTACCAATCATATGCTGTATAGTAGAGGTTGATAAATGCGTTGTAGTAGGGGAAAGAGCCGCTTGCGCCTGTTCACTTTGCCTGGACTGACGTTGCCGAGATCTGGCTGCTACAAGCACCCTTTCAGTAGACCCGTCATCTACGCCTGTCCCTAGCCATCTGTTGCATGGGAATCTGGAAGGTAGGGGCATGTTGAGTCATATTTGTTTCAAACGGGGAGATGGGCTTCTATACTATTTGAATTTTTTTATCAAATTGAAATACTATTTAATTAGGTATATTATATTACGACTTAACCGATTTTAATGAAAGTCGGAATAAGTAGTGTACCTGATTCAAAACATATAGCACACGTTAAACTCCAAAATAGATCAAATTAGCCCAATCACTCCAACCTTTCTCGAATTTTAATACTAGCTGACCCGGCAAACGTTTGTTTTGCCATGTATATTTTTCTAGGAAACAATTTTTTGGTTAAATAAAAATAACTATCTACAATAATAAAAAATAGGGGTTGATCTTAGAGTGATGAAAATTAGGGGTTGTATGTATTGCTATATCAGAAAAAAAAATAAAAAAAATTTTTTTCTAAAAAATAAAATCTTTGGGGGGACACTCCTTATCACTAAGGAGTTTAAAAGATAGATAGTAGCCGATTCTCTAGACTTACTGAATTTGCATAAAAGGTTTCATAAGAATCGGTAGAGCCGTTTCGGAAGAGTATGGGAACGAATATTGTGACACGAGAATTTTATATATTAGATATAGACAATGCAATAATATCGAATAAAATAAAAGATTCTAAAATATCAATACTTACAAATATGTATGACCAGTGACTTCGTTTCTCCCATATATATGATCCAGTAACCACCGTGGCGACAAGCCCGAGTTGTCGTGACCAATTCGTAACGTGGAAAGGATTCCGAGATTCTTATGCTGAAATTGTTTCAACATTTTGACAATTATTAATCCGGGGATCGAACCTACGACCTCAGGGACGAGAGTCGCACGCTGAAGCCTAACACTGCTCGTATCTTATTATGTAATTATAAGTAAGCTTTTAATGCGAACAATAATAAATATACTAAAATAAATGTATACATAGATATACAAATACACAGTCGTATTTTAGTTTTTTACAAATTATAATTAAACGACAGTACTTAGAACGCTAATATTAACTAGGAATCAGCCCAGGGTATAACTTTATATAATAAGAAAAAAGTATTCTGGAACGATAAATTTTTCGACCAATTTCTCTGCCACATACATGGATCCATAGACTGACGGACGTCCAAGAATGATTGATTTTAATGTTATTATTTACTATGTTAAACAAAATAATTGTTCGTAAAAAATACCATATGTGCTTGATAGATTATTTAACTCGATTTTAGTGCACTCATATTATTCTGTAAGTGTTATATTAGTGAGAAAAAAGTCATTCAAGTTTCGAAAGACTGGGTTTTTTGACATGTCGAGAGTAGAGCACTGCCTCCGCTCCGCTAATGGTCTAAGATCCCGCTATACAACGACCTTCACCGAGATGCTTATTTAATGAAACTTATTTTATATATAATTTAATATGTCAATAAATATAATCCATATGGGTTGCCTAGCAAATTTCAGTCCAGAGTATGTTTAATTAATTTAAAAAAAAAATATTTTTTTAAACATTTCACCGGTATGATTATTAGATAAATTCTATACCAATCGAACGTATGAAGCCCATAGAATATGCAAACGTTAGGTTGTTTTTAATCAATTAATTATTTATGTGTATATTTTTTATGTGACACTAAAGTATATATACATCTTTAGTATAAAAGAAGGTTATAGTGATACATATATAATACTACCCTGATTAAAAATATTGATTGAAAAAAGTTCAAAAAATTTACTACATGCAAATTATTAAAAAAAAAATTTTTTTTAATATTAATTAAACATACTCTGGACTGAAATTTGCTAGGCAACCCATATGGATTATATTTATTGACATATTAAATTCAATATAAAATAAGTTTCATTAAATAAGCATCTCGGTGAAGGTCGTTGTATAGCGGGATCTTATACTATAATGAGGCGTGCAATACACAATTTGTGGTAGCACCTTTACTGAATACGCCATCTAGTGGTGTGATGTGATCATGCATTTTTAATTTATAACATAAACATGTTTAAAATTTAAAACCTAGTTTACTCACATGAAAAACAAATTCGTTAGTGTTTCGTGGAATAGGTATCTTTGGTGTCGATTCTCCATTAGCGCCAGATATGGACAGCCAGCAGTTGGCAGTCGTTTGACTTGCCTTACGCGACGGCACTATGAGTACCCTATATGGTAACTCTAAAAAAAAGTTAAATTTCGGGTTCTATCAAAAAAATAATATATAAACCGTTAAGTACGCATAGAGCGAAGTGTGTCCAGTGATGCCAATTTGGGGGTTTTCCCTCCAAATTTAGGGGAAATTAAGATGAAGTGGGGGGGTTAATACGTTACCGTTGCTTAGAGCTATTTTAGGGGCACTTTGTATATAATAGGCAATAGACAAATTTGGGCAATAGAACGTAAAACAAAAGCAAATATAAACTCCAAATTGGAAAATTGACAAGAATTTATAAATGCAATATTCAACTCCTTGAAAATGTAGTTAAGTTATCGTATGAATTGAATTGAATTTATTATGTTTGCAGTTTTACGTTTAGGAGAAAATACTTTTACAAGAACCGCCTATTTAGTCTTTGTCTTCATTTATTTTCTTCTGCTTTGTGTTATTCTGATGTAAATAAAATTTTTTTTAAAGAGGTAAAGCATCCCATAACGTGATTATCCCCTCAACGTGATTATCCCCTCAAGAAATAAGGCAGTCACGTTCTCATTCAACTCATTTCACTGTGACTTTTCTAATTACTACAAAAACAAATACACTTATACACTAAGTGCTACACTCACTTGTAGTTGGATACGTATTCGTAAAACAGTGATAGTCAACAGCATTCAACGTTAACAAGTGGTATAGAAATTGTTCTCTCTCCTCTTCGCATCGCAAGAACGCAGTCCTTTTGTACTGGGACCTTAGTAATGTTGTGTCAGAGAGAAGTTCTCTTAGATGTTTTGATAACAGCTTCTTTTCTAGCGACAGTCGCACCCACGCACGGGCGTAACCTATTTCGGTTTTTATATCTGTCATGGCTTGTACATTTCTGGAAAAAGAATTGTTTTAAGTCTTTATTTATTATAGCAACAAAGAAAATATTATCATGAGAGATAATGGACAATGCAACTCTTGTGAATATATCTTACTACTTACTTTCTTTACACTTATGTTACGAAAGATGAAACAAGTGTAGTAGTTGTGTGTTATAGCTAATAAAACAATGATTTTGGTCTTGAACCCTGTCGAAGGGTAAGTGTAAAGACTGTTTGCGGTTACCTAAAGTATAGACTATAGATAGACACTGAATATTATATAACTTAAAGCATTATTTATATTTTGCATGTAAGCAGCAGTAAGGGTGTTTTAGTATCTCAATCTCATACAGTTGCACCACTTCTAAAGATTTTAAAACAATTTTCAAACTCGGATTAAATCCCATACAACGTCACAAACTTTATAATAAAAGTATAGATTATGTATGGCTCGAAGGACCAAAATTTACGGTTTCTATGTAACAGTGTGTTTATAACAAAAATATAGTATACACTCTTTATTATCGACCCGCGATAAACAGAGGATATAAAATACTTTAATGCTAAAACAATGTCATGTAAATGCTGAAGGGTGCCTTCTTGCTATATATACTCTTGGGGCGTAACTCCCACCCTATGACTCGTAAAGTTACGATCTAGTTGCAGCCACAAACCTCATGTCAAACGTGAGATTTTCAGGCAACGCTCGTAAAGGATTATGAGGCTGGGACGACCTCCGTTCCAATGTGCTGGAGTTACTCAATCTGTCTCGAGAGCTATCTCGGGATCCACCTCGAGAGCTGTCCCTGGATCGATTTGTGCTTGTGCACTGCTGGGCCTCTACTTCAGCACCCACTGATGATAGGTCTGAAATATAGCACTCAGATCTAACTTAAAATGCCCCAAACGTTCAAAGGAATATAGCAGACCATAAGTCTTTCATTGTATGCTACCGAATGTAAACTTAATTAAATTTTATGTTCGATCTTATTGAATCTACTATTAGAGACAATTTAAGGAACGACTGTGAGTAGAACGGCACTATTATGTCCAATCCGTTCCCAATTATTTCTAAGTTATCAGAAAGAATGCTCCATAAACAAAGTTGTGATACTTACAATCCAATCGTTTTCGTAAAACACACCAAGCTAAAGCTGCATGTTTAGAAAGTTTATATTGAGTATAAGAAAATAATTAATATCAACGGCAGACGCCCTAAAGTTATAAAGCAGTTTACGTTAAATAGCACTTTGTTCAAAGTATCATTACGGCACAATAAAAATGTATACGTGTGTGGAGTTTGATGAAAAATCAATCAAATTGGTATCAATTGGAACTGCTATTTCAATAAACTAAAATTATTGTGTAATAAAAAAATGTTTTCTGCCAAAAGCTTTCAATTTTATACTGAAATTGTATATGTTGTATTAGAAAATCATGGCGATGCGAAATGAAGAAGCTTTATTCATATTCATTCATGTTTTAAATAATAAAATTTACCTGGAGTCAAATAATTAGGATCAATTGCCTTTGAATTATTACTACACTGTTCCAACTCTTGGTAATTCATTAAATGCATCCACAGAGCTGACTTCCCCATCTTATGCTGGAGTCCATGAGACCAGAGTCGTTCCAATAAATCACACAATGACGCTATCATTGTGCTTTCTTCTATTCCTGTAATTGATACTTCCGAACCTAAGCCTAAGTCACTCTCTTCTGTACCCATCTTCTCTAGGAGCATTCGTTTTGTTTTACTCTTGCACTCCTAAAAATAATGTTTTTTACTAACAACCTCCAGCGATACTAAACTATAAAGCAATACTTATCCAAATTCATTAAGATTATTGGTTCAAACAACATGTTTAATTTTCTTCTTATTTAGGTACTGGAAAATCCCTGGCCCTCACAAACTTTACCTGATTATAATTTTTTGTTATGAAATGTTTCATATAATCTATTGCCCTTATAAAGAACGCATAGTCATGACAAAATAACAAGCAAAACCAAATCATAATAACCTTTTTCATTTAAAAAAATGTTTTTTACATGCACCATGTATCACGGTATAACTGTAATCTTACCCTCAAAAGACTCGTTTTTTTTCTAAATAAAATTGTACCATGTACCATATATATGTACCTGTACTAGTTAGCCACAACACAGAGGCTTCCTAGTGGGGGCTACCGTTGGATCAGTTTTGTCACAACCATATTAATTGTGTCATGAATAAAGTATTATTATTATATAGGTAAGAGAACGTTGAACGAATGAATGTAACTCCAGTTCTCAAATGAATAGTAGTACAAACGAGATGAACTGGCCGTCTTATTAACTTCCGTCACTCTTTTTAAAGGAGTATTGAACAAAAGGTACTAAACCTCAAATAAGTATATTAACAGCCGTTCATTTGCGGATACCGTAAGAGTCCAGTACCTTAAGAAGTTTCTCAACAAAGGTCCTATTATTTTGTGCAATTGCCGCTGGTGTAACATCAGTCGACAGACGCCTTCCAATATCACCGAGTAGCAACTCTGGGGGGCAATCTTTAACCTGCCATTTGGCATTTTTGATTCTCTTCAAACTATTTGTTCTGAAAACGAATTTCTTTGAGATCTTGTCCTAAGAAGCACACAAAGCCAAGCGATGAATTGGACACTTACTAACGTGCTGGATTTTGATAGTGATAACGAAAACTCTTTAAAAAAATATATTGCATTAACAACCTGTTTGGTACATATGTGCATTAAGGTACAAGTTTGAGAATGCGTAAAGCATGCCACTAACATACACAACATTGTCATACAAAAGAATATATCATTAAATATTGCCATTAAAATTTAGTACTCTATATTATGCTCAGCTTAGCTGCTATAAAAAGAACTATTTAAAAACAAATACAAAATTATAAAGTATAAAGACATAGAGCATTAATTTATCCGTTAAGCGTACTAGTTACAATAACTGTACACTAACAATATTAATCGTGAGACAATTTAATAATATTTTTATAATTTCTATAAGATCAACAGTATAAAAGCCGTCGCGTAACTTAGCAAGGTCGTAAGCATGAGTCGTTTTTAGGCTCGCTTCTAAACGCACACGCACAACAAAATCTTGCCAAGTTACGAGCCGAAACTCATGAAGACCATATCATTAAAATTATACTTAAAGATCTATGCCAATTACAATGAGCATTTAACAAGCACATGCTTTGCACGTGCATAGTATATAACATGCAATATCACAATAAAAAAACACATACAATGTTTGAACTACGAAATTAATTAGAAAAACTAGCTGCATTGCTATGTAGCTAATAAACTTTTTATATAAAAGATTTTTACTTAAATTATAATAAATATGAGATTCTTTAACTTTGTAAAGGATCACAGATAAGTAATAAAATTCATAGGTACAATGTTAAGGCAATATGTAAAAGGATCATTACTCTATCATGAGTTTAACGAGGAATATCTGAATACTATGTAAATCTGTCATAGCAATTATAAAAAAAGTCATACAGTAAAATGGTTTAAAATAAAGAAACGAAAGATGACTTAAGGCAGGAACATAGAAAATTTGAATTTTTTATTTAGTTTAGGAAATTTGCCCTAAAACAGAAGTGGCAGTGGGCGGAGTATATAGCAAGATAGACAAAATATTGAATTTAAAGACTATATGAAGGAGAAGAGAAGAGGAGAAGAGGGCGCCCTAGAAAAGGGCGAAGATATAGAAGCCTTAGCAGGAAGCGAATGGAGAAAGAAACCCATGGATAGAGAGGGGATTCCGATAAATTAGGAGTTAGAATAACGAGAAAAAGAATGTATTAACATTTGTAAAAATTTTAAATAAACGGGCTTTATTATTATTATTAGAAAGCATGAACACCGTGTGTTTGAAATAAAAATTGTGATTAACGATTTAGTTGAACGATTAATATTTTAAACGAGATTTTAATACAAATATTTTGATGTAGATACTTTGTCAAATTCATGATAGAGCTGGGTTTGAAACTTTACGATAGGCGTGACCGACTAACGCCAAACGAATGTGTATGAAAATGGTCACGTGATAAAGCGTGTGCTAATGTCTTTCTCATACAAATACCTTTAGCGGTAACGGGCCACGCATGATCGTATAGTGATTTTATCAAGACAAACACGAAAACACATTTTGCAGTAACAAATGTAACATATCTTGTATAGAAAATAAATAGTCCACCACTGGTTTCATAAAATGTAGTGTGTTTTCATACCTATATATATTATGCCTTTATATAAATATATCATAAACACTTACAATAGGGCCAATTTAATAGATAACATTTGACATCTGTCAGTTTTGGCATAGTAAGGTGACCTGCTTACAACATCGATTTAAGTGAATGAATCGATACGAACTTCATATATATTTGAATCGAATACGGTTATTATGAAGAAGTACTTATAGATTTCGTTATTTTTATATTAAACTAGCTGCCCCCGCGAACTTCGTTTAGCCTTAATATGTTTTTTTTACTTAGCCTTCCTTTTCAGTAGATATATACCAACATATATGGACAACATCTTGCTATGCTTCCCAAAGAGACTATTCGCTTATCCGGATTAAAAACCTAAGTATTAAATTTTTTTTAATATTTTTAAAATTTTCTCTCTCCATAAAAGCCTTTTTCAGAGTTCAAAGAATAAATTTAAAAAAAAATATTATTTTCAATGATCACAATTTTTGGTGTTCACAAGTAATTTAGTTAAAATTTGCGTTTTATTTTTACTGTTTTGCCTATATTTTTGTTCTTTATGTATTTTTTTGCTTGCTTGTTTGTAACTTTAAGTTTAAACTTCGAAAAAATAAATAATAACAAAGTTACCTTATTGAAATTTGATGAGTCAAATGTGATCTAATAAATTGAAATATAAACACAAATACATGCTCTAACCCAAAGCAAGTACTTTTCACAACAACAAATATAGTGCGTTTTCCAATTACAGAGCATTTTGCGACTCAGTGCCGCACAATGCCGCATAATTCTGAAGCTTAATTGGAACGTGAATTAGTTTTCAAATGCATCAGCAGAGTGCGCTAAGTCAGTGTTGTAAAAAAAATGTTATGAATTGAGTTAGCAACCTCATTAATGTATAAATAATGTGGTAAACAATAATAATTGGTTGAAAACTTTTTACGCTTATTAATCATCAAATTATTTCATTAACATTTTTTTAATTGAAATAATAGAAAACCTTTAGAAGAATATAAGGTTTTAACAAGCTAAATTAACAGTAAAATATTTAGTTTCATGTAAGAAGTTTACATCATTTACGTTTTAAGTAATATTTTTTAATGATTTCTAAAAAAAATTAAATACTTTTCAAAACCATTGCAATTTTTTCTAAAGTATAATCCTGTAAAATAAATTTGTTTACAGATCCGAAGTTTAAAATAAAATTGTATTCATATTTTAAATGTGGAATATAAAAAAAGTAACTATTTATCATACATACTAATATTTTTTTTTTTTGCAGTTTGAAATAACTTTAATTATTTTCAAAATCTACGACGAAACGAAAGCCTTACAAATTTTTCAACAATAAATAATATTTACTAACGAAAATTTCGATAAATGCCAACTTAAAGAAAAATACTGGTCAATTTTCTGTCACTGTGTTGGTATTGTTTGCGAGAAGCTCGCGAGAGCATTCGTTTTGAGAGTGCTCAATTGTGCGAAGCGTTGCTGTAGTTGGAACACTCGACATTGAGCATTATGCCGCAAAATGCGCTCTAGTGCTGTAATTGGAAAACGCACATAAACTTCGAACACATGATATAATAATGTTGCCAGTTCTGATGAAATACAAATAAATAGTTTTTACAGCGCTTTACTGCGTACAGATTAGACCGATAATATTGTCTATGATTCAAGTTCGTAATGTCACATTTTTACTTGACAAAATTTGTCATCAGAACTAGCAATGATGTTTATTTACATGCATGAATGGTCTTAATAAATTTATAATGCAATATTGGAGTTTTGTAGAGATAAATGGATTTTAACGCAGACGAAAATTTGTATGTTATTTAGTCTTTCAGTCTCAACAAAAAACTTCATTTCAAAATTTTTATATTACAATTGCCTTATTACGCATTAATTTCATCTTTATTACAAATACAATTTATCAAACACTGATGTACCAAATCCCATCAAGGATATACTGTGAAGAAAGCCGCACAAACACGCATGCGCAAGATGACGCTATTGAATCTTAAGGATCTTTTATAGTGAATGGAGACAAAAATTTGCCTAGACTGCGTCTTCAATTCAGCATGTGATGAGCAAATAGCAACTGCTACCTGCTAATAGCAGCCCGAATGTGTGCTGTTATGTACAGATGTTCCATTTAACTTGCGTTTAGGACAAAATGCAGCAGGCAAAGCAGGACCCATTTGAAGAGTTCGGTCACTATTCCATCTCTATTCACCAATCCAGGGTCCCGAGTTTGCTATTTTAATTCTTTGCTATGTGACGTGGAGTTTTTGCAATGCATAGAGTATAGAGTAACTCTTCATTCCCGTTCACGTTTTATATAAACGAATTTAAAAATGGAACAATTGAATTAGCAGACTCGGGTAAAGCGCGACTAGTGATCGCACCTTCGATCGGACGTTGGAGGGGGTGCGAGTGCGTTCGCGTCTAAACGGACAGGAAACGCTCGATAGTACGCAGCTCGATGCGGAAGCCTTTCCCCCGGGGCCAAAACTTCCAATTCAGCGGGGCTCCATACACTATTAGCGGAGGCAGCGCCGGCCCACACGCTGTAACCGCGTGTAGCTAGTCCCCCTTCACCCAGACGACGTCTGCAACAACGCGGGCCCCTAAGCACTAGCATTGACTTATCCTTACCCATATGATTTTGAAATATTCCTATATCCAATGATATCATTAAATATGTTATACGCTCATTTAAAATATGTCATATATGGCGTATTAACACATCTACTAGTATCATCACCCATAACATTCAGCCTAAATCTATAGTTCTCGACGCGTAAATTGGTAGTAGTAATAATTTCAGATTTTATCCGCATCACCTTGATGGCTGAAGTTTCACTAGGTATTATCTATTGCGAACTAGAGAACTAAGAATCTGCTTTATAGACCAGGGCCGATAATTTTTTAAACCAAAAAAAATTACAGTAGGATGAAACCCATTAGACAAGGAGGGGAATATGATCAAAATGAAAGGAAAAATAAATTACAGACGATCCGAGTTCGGGAAGTGGGAGGGGGTGAGTTTTTAAGGGTAAAAAATGGTTTATCTTGATTTCCGGCAAAACTACAAGTCCTATGGAAAAAAGTTAAATGGCAAAGTTGTAGGTAATAAAAAGATCTACAACTTTTGTATTTGCAATTTTATCACATAACCTCAAAATTTAGGTGAAAAATTCAAAAAACCAAGTTTTTGGTTTTTTATTTATATCTTTTGCAAAAAAAAAAATTTTTCTACGAAATTTGTGACGCGCAGTTTCCCCCCACCACAACTTGCCAAGTTACATGCCGAGATCTAAATTATTATCAAAACCAACTTCCGCTCTCTTAGTACCTAATTCCAAATTTGTTCCCACATCGCTAGGAGACATGAAAATATTAATTATGAAACCATGCAAATTATTCAACTCCATACAATCTCCCAACTGTGCAATATCAAAGCATTAGTATGCATTGCATAAGTTCAGTGCTTCAGCGATATGCAAGGACCATTAGTAATGATTAATTTTAAGATTTTTCATCACAAACTTTATGCATCCAATGTACGTAACGACGTGCAGAAACCATTCACCCTCAGATTCAGAGACTTAGCGTTAGTGACTCCCAAATGTCAAAAACCTATTGGATTTGACACACCGAAGTGATAATGCCTAAGTCTGACACTTACCCAAACACGTGGTCTGGCATGTGGCTGATTGCGTACTTGTCTATAAGGAAAAACGACCAGGGAAACAGAATCCAATCTCAATACCAAGGGTCAAAGGTTTCTCTCTTAAAGGACCACATAGTGATGGTCTGGTAGTCCGTCCCGTAAAAGTTCTTAGTTGTGTTGACGATGTGACGGTGGACGTACTACTAAAATTTGTAATCTGACTGGACGTACATATATAATTTATTTACAGTATTATGAGTTCATTGCAGCAACTCATTTTGTATTAAAACCTGTTAAACCACTTTAATTTTTCGATTACACAGTACTTACCTAACAATTTTAATCCTGTGCTCAAATACTTGGAGATTCGCATCAAATTCACCCCAATTCGCCATAATTTTGTTGTCGATTAAGGTCGCAAACATCTGAGTTTCCAAAAAACGTGAAAGGAATGGTCTATGCCTTTGGGGTTGGTCGGACAAAAATGATGCTTTATCAAAATTCACCATAGACTCGCGGGAAGACAGCCATGAATCCCGATCCTGTAGATTCAAATTTTTATTTTTATTTAGCTAATTACCTACGTTTTAATTTTAATGGTAACTGTTGTCATAGTGGCGTGGCATCCATGAAGTCGTAGGTTCGATTTTTTTTTATAGAACGGGGGGCAAACGGGCAAACCTGATGTTAAGTGATACCGCCGCCCATGGACACTCTCAATGCCAGAGGACTCGCGAGTGCGTTGACGGCCTTTTAAGAATTGGTACGCTCTTTTCTTGAAGGACCCTAAGTCGAATTGGTTCGGAAATACTTCAGTGGGCAGCTGATTCGACAAAGTGGTGGTGCGCGGCAAAACCTGCCTTGAAAAACGCTCAGTTGTGGAACGACGGACGTCGAGGTGATACGGGTGGAATTTCGTATTCTGCCTCGACGTCCGATGATGAACTCAGCTGCAGGTATTAATCCGAACAACTCCTCTGTCTCGATCCCGGCTTTGCACCAATGGACTTTCTATGTGCGCATCTAATATTCGCTCGAACAGTAAAAAGTCGACGTGTGTCAGGCACAGGACACAAACACAAACTTGCTTAGTAAATTGAAAAATGATCATGAAACAGATTTTAAAAAGCCCAGACCTAAAAAGATTGTAGCGTCACTGATTTGTTTATTTAAACTGTAAAGACCTTCAATTTCTTTTAAATATTAAGGCCTTGTTCCTGCTTCTTCTCTTGGAGTATTTTTCTCCTTTTGGTATATTTTTACTGTTTCATCATCATTACTTAGGTAACAATGTATAGGCAGCGGCACGTAAGTCTAGCGCTGGCCGATACGTGGAGGGGATTGCTGCGCATGTGTACTGTCGCGCGGGGGACGGAATGCGACTGGAGAGCCAATCGACGCTACGCGCGCCCGCTAGCCCCCCTCAGGTACCTTATCTTTTACTTCTGCGCAATAACGGTCAGCGCTAGAGTTTCGTGCCGCTACTTGTACACTTATGAAGTCAACAAAAATGCTTCTAAATTTACATTTACTGGCAACTCTAGAACAGACAAGAATAATAATTGACATTAAAATCACCGCTCTTTGTAACAAGTTTTAGTAAGACCAGTGTTAGACTAGTGGTCGCGCGACTTTACTTTTTACATGAAGCTCTCAAAACAGGTTTTACTGTGTTAGACCCGCTCTGTTAGACCATCTTTAAATATATGTCCGCAAGTTATTATATATTATTATATATATAAGATATCTAAATATCGATATCAGTCACAAAAGGATTACTACTACGTAAGGATCAAACTTGCTTATAGAAAAAAAAGGAAACAGATCTTAATAACTTTTAAAATATATCAATAATTTCAATTGAATGGATTTTTTTATGTAACAGGAGGCAAACGGGTAAGATCTAATCTGATGTTAAGTAATACATTTACCCCTTACCCCCGACAATTGTGGGTACATTACCAGAGGACTCATAAGTGCGTTGGCGGCCTTTTAAGAATTGGTACTCTTTTCTTGAAGAACTCAAACATAGAAATAGTTCGAAACGCTCGAAAGCGTCTGTATTATTTTTATACTCTTTGATTAAATGCAAGTTATTTTTTAGACCAATCACAATCCAACAAATCGTTTCGTCTTTTGTTAACTCTAATTTCACCGAAGTTTAACATAGCACACCTTAAACAAAAAGAGCGTACATATAGCGTCTACAACCGATTAAAAAGAGTGGCGGAGAGTTTGTTGCCAGTTCTTCTCTTCCGTTCTACGCCCTTGATTTGAGAACTGGCAGTAAATATAAAATTAGAAGCATTTAATGCAATTTTTTTTGACATTCATAAGTGTCCATTGTGTTACCTATATAAATAAATGATTTTTAACTTCTAAACCGATTGAAGTTTCATTTGGAGACTCCGTCCTTATTACATGGAATGCAGACCGTGTTTATAAGCATGGCTTTTTCCATGTAAAATGGTAACCATGGCAACCAAGTTAACACGAATCTATATTGGTATGTTATCTAAAGCTGGCGGCTTCAACACATTTACACTTTGTGCTTGTGTAGTGTCTGTGAATAAGCGCGAGGCGTTATGTCAAACTGAATATGCATCATGAAAAGACTTTCCGTCTCTCTCGCGCTCGGTCAAGCTTATGAGTATAAAAGAGACAGTTATTGTTTTGCTTTTGCTACTGTTTATGTTGATCTTTACTGTACATGTTGATGTTTTTCTCGTTATTATTTTGTCTGTGACTGTTTACTTATTTGGTTGGAATATAGAATACTTTAAAAAAAGACACCCACCACCACCGTATAAACATTACCAGGGCAATCTCGTGAAATGGTGCACAATGTTTTTAATTATTTTAAGCATCTTAATAAAAACAGTTTAATGAAAAAAAAAAATTTTAATTTGACATCAGATGCGACTGGGGTTTCTAAGAGGAGTATTGAAAGAATTGTTAGTGAAGTAAAAGTGAAGTCTGTTGAGCTAGATGGAGCTTATGTCGTTACTGCATAATGAAATTGCATTAGTGTGAGTACTGTGAACGCGCCAGCTTTCGATAACCGACCTATACTCCAAACGGTCGTGACTTACCTGATCAGGCATAATAACGAAGTTCTCATACATTAGGAACATATGAACGAATCGATTGAGGAACGTTTCTCGTATCCCTATATTAAAACGAATGTCTTCATTGTATTGATCTTCATCGTTGAGTATTATTTTCTTGGTCGTTGGCATCACTGTCTCTGAATCAACATCGTCTATATTGACACCTGAAAAATATTTCCTATTACATATGACACTTAAATTTACCTCGTCTTCAAATGTATTTTCCTCTTTAACGCACGAACCCAATAATTAATCCTCAATCTCAGAATGAAAACAATGTGAGATCACACCGTGACAGTCGATCGATCTCCTATCTGCATCCCAATAACCAAACCCTACGAAGACTATCCATTTTTGGCGACGGATAAAATTCTCTTTGTCGATCCATTTTACCGAGTTAACACTCATATTTGATAATCAATGTAAACCAAATAAAGTTAATAAGACCGTACAAATAACATTAACATGCGTATGTTTAAATCATAACAAACAGTTTTTTTAATTATTTAAAAAACTGGTGTAAGTTAAAATCTCTTAAAATAATTAACTATTGAAATCGAGCTTTCGTCAACTGTCATTTTCATACAAAGGTCTATCCACAGACACCGATACGACCTCCCATGGATAGCTTGTATCGACAGATGTCTATTACAATCCGTCGATTGGTTATTGGGTGACTTGTTACAACATTTGGATTAAGGTTACTATCTACTACACTATCTCAGATGGGAAATTATGGATTGAGATAGGTTATTGGGTTCGGGCGTAAAACGGGGAAAAATGGCATGGGCCAATCAGGCAATTAAAACCTAGCGGTTGAAGAGCAGTAGTCCGGTGTACCGGTGGATCGAGAGAGAGGAGGATTATCTGCTGTATTTGGAAGCTGCAATTGGCGGAAATTGAAATATAGATATAATATGTAAAGAAAAAACTTTTTTACCGGATTAAATTAAATTTTCTTTAAATGTGTAAAGGTTATGTTAATCAAAGACAATACTAGATATAATATGAATTGGCAACCGCAGTTGTTTTTTTTTAAATATAGTTTTGTTTTTTTTTGTTTTTGTAGTAATTTTGTAGCATTTCCCTAATCAACAAGTACGAAACTAGCTTTAACAACGACGTTAGAGTCTGTGGGAAACGGCGCGGCAGTTACAAAGCTAATTTTTATGTGTTTAGAAGAAATAACCTCAATTTTAAATAATCAACTGACTAAATGTTTTACGAATGCAAAATATGTACAGAGTCAAAAATCGCACACCCGCACGTACTGATTCCAGGTTATCTGCGTGCACGCACACATACGTGCGGAACGACTGAGACCAGTTTTTGTCGTTGCGTGCGAGTGTCGATAACGTTTCAATAAAATACAATTTGAAATGTAAATATGATTGTTTAATTTTTAGATAAAACATATTATGACATTAATTAAAAATATTCTATGAAAATACAGAAATTATATATTTTAATATTTATTCATATTATATATCTATTTTATTATGTATCTATTTTATCTCTATATATCTTGGTCTAAGATGATTACTGTCCATTTATAACGACGTAACAGTGTTATCAATGTTTATCTCAATGGTTTTCTTTCGGCACAGGCTTTAGCGATGTCAGACTTTCTAAATTTAATTTGATATTCGATTTTTATTTTGATTTGATTATTTTAGTTAATCAAAAGAATAAACTGAAATATTAAAAACTCACCAGTACGCTTAACAATATCAACGATCCGTTGCAAGGCGTCTAATCTCCTCGGATGTCGTCTCGTAGGGGAACCGGGCGGCGACGCGTTTAACGGTCTACTTTCATCCCACTCTAACACATCGTGGAATGAGTGTTTGCGACGAAGACCGCCTGATAATTTAAATAATATTCAATACACAGTATAACATTTAGTCTAGTACGAAACTCGACTGTAACCTGACAACCCATAGACTCACACCGACAAAAGGCTCGAGTGCGCACCGGCTTTTAAGTATCGAAACGCATTTCTAAAGGACAGATCGCCAAACTCCAGAAAAGTACATTGTTTCTTTCCATTTTTCGTCATCGTTTCTTGAAGTAGGGCGAATGGAAGAAATATATAGTAGAGTTGAGTAGTTTATGCATCCATTTTGAAAGATCGATACACGATTTAAATAACTTCGCCCGATAGAAAAAAAATCCAAACATAGCCAATTTTTGACACTTTGAATTCATTTACGACGAAAATGTATACAGAACACGATTTTGAAATTTACACGATATATTTTATCGCAAGCCAAGGAATCCATTTCAGAAAAAAAATTGATAAAATTACATTAATTCAATGTTTTACATAACTAATTGTTATTACGGGCCGGCGTGCCTCAGTGCTCCAGCTCTCCACTACGCCCCGCAGTCCACCCCGAGACACTGACACAACAATTCGTGCTGGGATAGGGCCTTAAGTCGTAATGGTTCGAAAATACCACCATAAATATTAATACAAACCTGAGGGTAAAGTACAGCTGCTACTCATCCCGTCATTCATATGTTTGTACGATGTGCCATTCAATGGTACTCCAAGCTTCGTTGGCTCTGTTTCTGGTCTTTGTATCTAAATAAAATTCATTAGATTATTTACGGGAAGATTTTGTCAAAGATATTTTATACACAACTAGCTGCCCCTGCAAACTTCGTTTCTCCTTAATGTGATTTTACTTACCCTACCTTTTCTCTATATTAACCTCAGAGTTCAAGTCATAAGATTTTAATTAACAAATAAAAAATAAGGGTTGGTGATAGAGGGGTGAAAATTTAGGGTTGTATGTATTTTTTAATGGCACATAAAAAAATGTTAGGGGGTGGACAACCCTTATCACTTAGGGGTATGAAAAATAGATAGTAGCCGATTCTCAAACCTACTGAATATGCATATAATATTTGATAAAAATCGGTCAAGCCGTTTCGGAGGAGTATGGTAACTAACATTGTGACACGAGAATTTTATATATAAGATAAACCTCAAAATCAAGGTACAAAAAAGGATTAAAAATTTGTTACCTGGTGTTTATCCAATACATGATTGAGTTCTTCAATAAAAGGCGTCCTATGAGGAAATATTGGCAGTTCTTCAGGTAACTGAATATCTGGTTTATCGATATCGACTAAACAGAGAGCCGCTTCAGAGCTTAGAGCTATGTTCCTAAGACCATTTGATCCTACTATGGTTGTACCATCAGAGTGTAGTCCTAGAAAAAGAGTTGTAATTTTTTTAAGCTTTGATCTTCTTTTTTGTAAAATTAAAATTCTACATCAAGTAGTATTGTAAAAAAATACGAGCCGGTGTTATTTATTAAATTTCGAATTGAACGGTCTTTACCAGGCAATTTTTTTTTACTTGAAACTGGCATAAAGTCAAAACTATTGCCATAATATTAAAAAAAAAATATTTTGTTTTTTTTTTGTTATTATATGTTAATTGGCAGCAACTTCCATACAATTTTGAGGTGTTTTTTTTATTATGAGATTTGCGTGTTCTTTATTTGAATCTTGTCTAAGTGCATAACATTTCAAATTTCGAATTAGGACAGTCCTAATCGATTTGCCGATTCTTATTTTAAAATTCGATGATTATAATAATATTCAACTTTTCAAACTTTAGTGGTGGTATTTTTAAAATTTAAGCGTTTCTTTACGTATTCTTATTCGAATTTTACGTACGTTTTAACGCGAAATAAAAAAATTACTACATACCCATAACGAATGGAACCGGCGCATCAAGAAAATGGTAAAGTGGCGCGGGCAGTATTGGTACGTATACGTGAGCCCACGTAAATGGCAACAACAATGACACAATGCATTCAGCTACTAGCATAAGCTTGTTATAATCTGAAAAAGACAATAAAATATATATTTCACATTAGGCTGCATTTTTTTTCAGCGTTGGATACAAGCGCTTTAATACACTATGAACTGTATTAAAAGTGCATTAATTTTTTTTTTTAATATATAATTTTGTTTTCTAAATCTGTTGCCAGGGGCAAACACGGGCAAATGGGCAGGAGGCTCATTTGATGTTAAGTGATACCGCCGCCTACGTTGCCATAGGTCGCGCAAGTGCGTTGCCGGCCTTTTAAGAATTGGTTCGCTCTTGAACGACCCTAAGTATAATTGGTTTGGAAATGCTTCAGTGGGAAGCTGGTACCATATAGTTGTGGTACGAAACTAAAACTACCTTGAAAACCGCTCTTTTCTATGAAATAAGAGATTTATCTATGAAGCTCCTACTTCGAAATTGTTGGACTATATTCAAGAATTTCAATATGATTTTCCAAGTCCAACTTAGTTAATAAAAGTTTAAAATCATAGATTACAACCATCAGAAGATGTTTTTCAAACTAATTCGAAACATATTAAGCTATTGCATAGATTTTATCGCGGACTTTGAGCGCGGCGACCGAATTAAGAAATTCCGTAACGAAAAGAAACTAGCAAACGATGACGTAATATAGGTACGGCAAATACGCGTTAGAGTGGGACAGAACGCATACTGCGCATTCCCATCTCTCTGACGAGATCGGTGGTCTGAGTCTGGTAGAGTGGTAGATTGAAATAATATCAAAGAAAAACTTGAATTAATATCAAAGAAAAACAAAATCTGCATAAATAAAAAATAAATAATTATAACTGCATAAGTTGATAAAAAATGCTATGCAATAGCTTTACCGCGGCAGTCCCCGAGTGCCACACGTTTTTTTTTATTTTTATAATAAGGCTAATTAAGTATTATCTCACCAGTAGATCTAAGTAAAACTTGATGCTCCAATAAAACACAGGTAAACAATTGGACAATACATTCAACACCCAGAATGTTAAACATTATGCGCAGTGGGTAATCAAGAAGGGGTAGTTCCTCTGGTGGATTTGGCATTCTTATCACCTGAAAAATAAAATATGGTATATATATTACTATGTCTAGTTCATAAACAGTTAATTCACGGAAATTAAATCTAAAAAATACGCTAATTGTAACCATGGCAGGGTGTGTGGAGGAAGGAAGCTGCTCTTCCGATCTAAAAGGAGAATCCTCGAAGGAAGGCCCCAGTGACAAAGGTTGAAAAGTTATGTATATGTTATATAACATCGTTAGGGCGAAGGATATGACGTCACCGCAGTCATTTTAATCGCTAAGGGTTTTGTTATACAAACTATTTGTAAGGAGTTCCGTTACCTTATTAAATAAAGGATCCAAGATTATTACTATTATTGCTATAGGCTTTCTTATTAAATTTCCGGTGTAACGCCCCGAGAGTATAGCCAGTATAGCACTCTCTTCAGCATAATAAATTTATTATTTTGTTATACGCGAGTGATAAAAATAATGTACTTTTTATTATTACAGTGGCCCGTTAACACAGGAACTGCAATCATTCATTCTTCTGTGACATGTATACATAAATGAAACATAATTATTGTTTGATTTAATCAAAACTCCCATTAAGAAAATAATTGAGTCGAAAACCAAATCAAATTTTTACAAAGTTTCTAATTTTTTTAAATAAAGTGTCACCATTTTTTTTTATTTATAAATAGAATATATAATTCTCACTTACAACTGGTATAGGATCCAGGTGTGGCTCTGGTGGAGGGACATAAAGCCTTAAGGCTTGTCCTGGCAAAGGTACTGGCACTTCATATAATAAATTATATACATATGATTCAGGGCTTAGACCTGGCCCTGGTTGACGAGGCAATGACCTGGAAATCATAATTTGGGTAATGTGTTAAAAAAAAACAGTGGCACTATAACCTGTAATTTGGCCCTATCATTTCTGTAACTGTTTCGGGTTTTTATTTTTTTTATAGACAATTTGGTGATAAGCTTTCTGTGCCTGACAAATAGCGTTGACTTTAGGTTGCAGGACATGCTGTTTCACGGTACAAGCGATTATAATGAAAAGTACAGTTGTGCATTAAGCTGTGATTCAAACACATGACTTGAGGTTTAATACGCGAATGCTAAAGCCATATCAACACAGCCCAAGTGTTACAAACGTATTTTAGTATCACAAATTATCTTGAATGTTTTTTGTTTATATTGAACAATGTTGGTCGGTCATCAGTCGGAGAGATAACAGTTCCAGTATCTCTAAATAGCGATTTATGAATCTAGATGATGAATGAACTTAATAATTGGTAGAGTTTTAATATCACCAACTGTATTAAGAGTTACGGAGTACTACTATTAAGTGAGAATTTCACACGGACATATAAGTCCGCTAGATAATATGCGATTATAGTTTGTTAGCGGTTTTTGTTTAAAAAGAACTAGCAATATGAAAATTTACTTACCTAAATAAATTCTCTAAAAATAACTGTGCTACCCGAATAAACGGGTATTGGCATATGAGAGCTATACTTTTGGCTACATAAAGTTTGTCTTTGGTTATATCATAATATGTTAAAGCAGATCCTGTATGAGGTGATAGTTTAAATGATCTTGGCAGTGATCTTGAGCTTTCCTTGCCTGAGTTCTTTCTATGCCCTGGTGGCGTTTGACCACTAGATAACTCTGTAATGTACATAGCCTGAAAAAATATATAAATCATATTAACTACCTGCCATGTGGTAAAAACAATAATAATATAGAACAATATTGTCTTAATACAAATCTTAGTAATAGACAACCATTGGGTAAGAGGCACATCCTCGAACCTATGAGATCACTTACTCAGGCAAAACTAAGAAATTTAAATGCTTCAACAGTGTGTATAACATACTATTAACAGACAAAGCTAATCTAGAAACAGCCATAAGGGAAGTTTTAAAAATAGAATGACGATGACTACATGAAGATAATAATAACACCCTTTTATCAACTCAACCATACTTTTTTGTTAAAAATAATATAATAGATATATGTATATGTGAGATTACTAATAATTTGTTAAGATTATCTGTTTAATAATTCAAAACAACATTAAAGAACATGTTTATAAATAAATTGCCTATTATCAGGGCTATTAAATAAACAAAATAGAGTGGTAATTGTGTAAGTGATACAATGGTGTACAATAATAAGTACATGTTTATAATATAAATGTCAATTGGTATTCAAAATTACCTGCAATGTATGCATGGCACTACATATATTACGATTTCTAACTTCTTCATAAAATATGAGGCTACAGCCATAGTATCTTGATGCATTTTCTCGAGTAACTACAAAACTGTGAAACTTTGGTTCTAGTGAGTGCTTCTGAGTGCGGAATTGGAGTCCAGTTGGCAAGCAGAGCTGTGAAAATTTTAAATGTGTTTTGTATCTTAATAAAGTAATTTTTTACACCAAACTAAATAAGTAATTATTTTATATATTCAGAACATTTTAATTTTATATCTAATGTTAATGCCTAAATTGTTAATTGCCATTAATGGAGATAAACTTTTCAAAGTGCCAATTTATCTATTTTCTACCTTTAAACATAACACAGTCCTTTAAATTTGAATGCATAAAATAAACAATACATTGATATTATTTACATAATTGTAGTAACATTAATTATTTTTGTTTGAAACACATAACTTACCATACATACAGCATGCTCATCAAAGGCATTGCTATGGAGATTATCAGGATAGTGTGCAAGTACTTTTCCTTTATAGGAACGGTCTAATGGAGATATATGTAAGTTATCACCTGAAAAATCGTAATAATGATGTTAGGTGGCATAATAAATTATTTAATTTAGCTGATTGTTTTTTCTAGTAAAGAAAATAAAAACCAATAAGGTTGATACGCTAGTTTGATTAAAATCAATAAATTCAATTTACCTGAAAGTCTGTCTGTCTCTAAGCCAGAATCAAAATCTAAACCACATATGGCAAAATAGTCTGCAAATCGACATCCTACTGATAAATCGCTGACAGACATATTCATATCGACCCGTTATTTACTATTGTGAGATACTTTCTCTTCCACTTGCGATCTTGCATAGAATTTTATCATTGTTAGATTTACGTGGAGCGCAGAAAAATCATACTTTACAGATTTAGGGCATGTAAATGGTTATTGTTTTACTTAAATTGTTATATTTCTCAAATTATCATTTTTTTATTGAAAAGCTAAACACTTTGTATACGTGAAATAACACACACACACACACACGTTCGCACTCTTCGGCAAAACACGCAAGCTCGAATTTTTTAATCGAGTGGCAGCGAGGGTTGCCAATGCTAAAAATATTGAACGCGTTACGCAGTGAGGCTGTACAGTGTACGATTATAATATGGAGACCACAGATTAGTAGAATTCAGTCGCATACAGCTGTCTACCACGACAAATGCATGCTGCCATTGTCAGAATCTAAATAACAGTTAACATTTTTGATTTTACAATTTTATTCAATAGCAGCGGATGCCGTTCGGAAGAAGGCTGGAATTACTTCTTTATTTGTATTTTTTTGAATGAATCATTGGCATTTTATAAATGAGACATAGTTCAGACTAAGGATGGTAAATACGTGATGTGAACATAAGTAAGAATTCCTGCATAAGTTCTTCAATTAATGAAACTATAAGTTTCACTAGTAATTGATTATATCATTTTATAGGCCCGTTTTTGGAATACTATTAAGAATCTAACACCTTATCTAGTAACGAATACGAGGTAAGATAACTTAAAAATCAATATGAATTTATCAACTATTTATAAAATGTATTATTAATGTTGCTAATTTGTACTAAAATTTCTTTCAGAATGTTACGAGGAAAAATTTTACATTTAATGCACTGTTCCTTTTTTTTGTCGTTCATATTTGCCTTCCTGGTTTTTGCGGGTGCTATTAATTTAAATGAAGATGAAAAAGCATATATTGATCCCATTCAAACCTACGGTTTTTTTGGAGCAGCAATTTTATATATTTTCAGACTCCTTACATTGTTGACTATACCTCAAGTATTGTGTAATTTTGCCGGACTGACATTGTTTAATGCATTTCCTGGTAAAATTAAATTAAAGGGTTCTCCATTGTTAGCACCATTTATCTGCATAAGAGTTGTGACACGAGGGGACTATCCTAAATTAGTGTCCAACAATGTTACAAGAAATATGAATACTTGTTTGGATGTGGGCTTGGAAAATTTTATCATTGAAGTAGTAACTGATAAAGCTATAAATCTGGCCAGTCATAGAAGTGTCAGGGAAGTAGTTGTACCTGCAGATTATAAGACTAAAACTGGGGCCTTGTTTAAATCAAGAGCATTGCAGTACTGTTTGGAGGATAATGTGAATATATTAGGTGATTCTGATTGGATTGTTCATTTGGATGAAGAGACATTGCTTACAGAGAATTCAGTGCGAGGAATTTTAAATTTTGTCTTCGATGGTCAATATCCTTTTGGTCAAGGACTTATTACATATGCTAATGAAGAAGTGGTAAACTGGCTCACAACATTGGCTGACAGTTTTAGAGTGGCTGATGATATGGGAAAGCTTAGATTTCAATTTTATACATTTCATAAACCACTATTCAGTTGGAAAGGATCATATGTTGTTACTAAAGTAAGTGTAAATCTAACATTAGCACCCTATTCATAAAACAATGACCTAATCAGCCTAATTCTAAAAAAAAATTATAGTACTTATCTTTCTGACTTTTCATAACAGAGTAAACACAATTTGAAAGATAGAAGAGATATTCCTCCAAACTTATGTACAATTTAAAAAAGTTTTAGACTTGAAATATATATTATTAAGGTTTCACGTTATAAATTGTAATAGTAAATAACAATTTTGACTATAATATTTTTATATTCTAGGTAAGTGCAGAGAAGGCAGTTTCATTTGACAATGGGTTAGATGGTTCTGTGGCCGAGGACTGTTTCTTTGCTATCAAAGCTTATAAAGAGGGTTATTCATTTAATTTTGTTGAAGGCGAAATGTGGGAGAAATCTCCATTTACTTTATGGGACTTTATGCAGCAGCGGAAAAGGTGGATTCAAGGTATACTTTTAGTAGTTCACTCTAAAGAAATTCCCTTTTTTTATAAAGTTTTCTTGGGTATCTCGTGTTATTCATGGGTCACACTACCCTTTTCAACTAGTAATATGTTTTTAGCCGCTTTATGTCCTATACAATGTCCCCATATTTTAGACTTAATTATTGGCTTTATAGGTGCAGTCAATATTTATATGTACATATTTGGAGTCATGAAATCTTTTCCAATGTATAGATTTGGTCCATTGAAGTTTGTTATGTGTATTGCTGGGGCATTGGCTACAATTCCCTTTAATATTGTAATAGAAAATTTAGCTGTGATTTGGGGTGTATTGGGAAAGAAACATAAGTTCTATGTAGTAAATAAGGAGGTAAAGACACCAGTAACAGTGTAAGGATTTTAAAGTAACAGGCACAATTTATGATAGTAGATAATGGTTAGTCTGATTAACAATCTTATACAGGGTGTAACCACATTCTATGTTAAGCTAGAAATGTCAAATAGGTACTTTAAATATAAAAAACCTAAATACATACATTAAAAATCTGATTAGCTGTAAAATCAGCTTGGACTAACTGCTGGTACACCCTGTTTTAACATTGAATCGTAATTTACAAATTTTTGTACAAATTTAGTCACAATCTTTGTCATTTAGTAAATTTAAAACTCCCAAATTGTGGGGTGGATTTCTGCTTAAGATAACATGTGATACTATGACAACTTCGCTGTTTTTTTACGTTCTATGTGATGACCAACTAGTATTAGGTGTCCAATGCACACATTCCAATTATTGCGACACTGATAAGTCATTGATAAAGCTAATGATAAACACCTATAGTATTCATAAACATTTTTTAAGCCTCATATAGTCATAGACAGTGTATTGGTAATGTAAATAGTAGTCATGGATTCATTTCCTCCTGAAATTTTATCACATTACTAGAGAAAGAATGCTGATCATTTCCTGGTCTGGTCAAATACTACATTCTATAACTATATGTTGCTTAATATGTTGTTATATTTATTTATTTTCCAAGTGATAAGGACCTTCTAAACGGTTATATGTTTTATAGCCAAGTATTGGAAAGTTTTTTAACATGAACAAGTATATAGTCAATTTTTATACCTACCAAAGACTTAAATTATTCATAGTATTAAGGAGATTGTAAGATAATTTTAAGTCATCAATAGTGCTTTTACATGTTTGTACTTATTCGAAGTTTGTATATTTGGGAAATTAGTTGTGTTAACGCAAGTGAATTTTTATTTTCATTTAATTAGGTAATTTAATGTTACCATTGTAAAATTTTTTAGTTTTAGTATACTTAGGTTAAATTACCCACCTATTTCAACTATTTTAAACCCTGCTTGGTGTAGCTTGATAAAAATTATAACACCACTCAGTTCTAATAAAAACGCATGTAGGTGATCAATCTGTGCATTCAAATGAATAGTTCAAATTGTAACGTAAATGGTTTTAATAAAACCTTCAAAAACAAATGTTAAGAAAAATTGTGTATGAAAATTATTTAATTGTGCTGAGGGAGCGTTCAAGTATTACGTAACGTATTTTTTGTCCTTTTGTAAAACGTTACGATGCGGGGCGGGGATAAAATTACGCGTTATTGTTAATATTTTGGTCGACTTACACCACATAATAGTAACTAAAGAGTCACTAGGTGGTCACGAAACGTTTTACTATACTTGGGTACAGTATTGTACGACGAGTTACATGGGGGGGTCAATAATCTCCAAACATTGCGTTACGTAATACTTGAACGCTTCCTGAGCACTTTGCGAGATTTTATAAAAATTGTGATTATCCTGGATTTTAAATTGTAAAATAAATCCGAATATTGTAATTGGTGAACAATTTAGCTATTCAAGAATTATGTCACCATTTTTTAGATAAGAACTATTGCTATTTATTTAGTTATCACTAGGTATGAATGGTATCTGCTATGATTCAGTACTTAGAATTGTTGTGAATTGAACTTAATTTCTTTGTAATGCGGTGGGTTTTAGAATACAACAATGTAAGGGCATTGACGCGTTATGTGCTCATGGTCATGTCAATTTTTATAATACATGTTTTGTACAAATCCCACGAAATTATTGTCTTTCGACATGATCTTTCTGTTGTTATTTATAATCCTTAAGCCAATGGAATAAGGTTGAGAATCAGAAAATCTTAATCCCATAAACACTATTAGCCGTTTAGATGATTATTAGTCCAATTTACTGTCGACGCTTCAGCCAATATGCTAAATCTGTAAAGTATTTACAGTGGTTAGTAGTTAAGTGGTCGTTTAACGCGGTACCTATATATAGTCCTTCCAGCATTTGCAGCTAGTTCGCTATGCCTACAAAACCTTCCCCAATTATTCATTCTGTAGCCACACAGGAATTGAATTGCAGGCATTTTTGCTCGAACTTGGTCCATTAAAATGAAAATTGATGTACATATTGTGCCTTCAAAAAGCGTTATTCGGCCAGTTAAAAGCTTAGCTAGAATTTTAATGCTGTCAATTTCAGTCGCGTAAATGGATTTCGAACTGCAATATTTCCAACAACCGCTTGAATTTTAAAGTAAATTTTCACGGAAAATGTTAGTCAGAAGATGCGCAGAGGTAGTTTTAGTAGAGGAGTTTTTAGGTTATTTTAAATTAAAATTACTTTCCCCCACATTACGTCAAATATAAGTCTTGCCCAGACTACAACTACACACTTCATAATCTCAATAAAGTCTTCATATGTAAAATCACCTACTAGGTACTTGAGTGAGACTGAAGATAACACTAAAGTTCCGATTCAAATTATGACGTCATGTAAATTTCGATGTAGTTAGATTATATCTTACTACATCGAATTATCAAAGTAATGTTTATATTATGTATTTGTCTATTTAACCAAATATTTATAAAGTTCCTTTTTTTATTAAAGTAAAAATTAGCTTACGGTGAGATTTCATATTAATATAGTTTTGAATATATGTTCAGACGATTGTACCTCACACCCAAAAACATCGAAACTACTTGACTTTGATTCGCTTTCCTTGTTCCATACAATGTATTTTTTTTCATATAACAACTCAAAAACGAAATTGCGCAGTGCCTTGAACGTCGCTTGTAAGCTAGCACAGTGTACTTATTGTGTTATTAGTACATTAGATCCGTTCAGCAATCTTGTATCAGCAAAACAAGAATAAATTTGATTGTCGACAGTGGTACAAACTAATTAAGGAACAAATTATGTTTATTGTTAAAGTATGTTCTTACTCTTCAACGTTCAGTCAAATTCAAAAGAACTGTCAAATGCGATCTGTAGAATGAAAAGCGAGTACAAGTACATGCTTATTATAAATTTACTGAAACTTACTGTTTTTAAATACTAAACGAAGGACTGTGTTGCATGAATGTGATTGGTCTCTAGACTATAGACAAGCGACACAAACCAGTGTTTCGATTTTTAAATCTAAAAGAGTTTTTAATTGTATTGCGTGCAATCGTCGAATTCAACTTGTTCACTTGCAAACATTTCAAAACTGCAGCACGATGTTGCCATACTGCCTTATCGCATGATCTCGTAAATAGACAAATAAAGTCTTTTATTAGTCACTATTTTGTACTAGAACAGCCGCTTTGACTGCCATTTCAGACATGCATAATCTATGAATGATATTCACACGGCTCACCTGTATTGCCTATATTACCATATTTATTCTGTGGTTGTCACCACCGGGTCTTTTTGCATACGTAGTTCCATCATTTTGAATTGTACGCACAAAATGCACTATGTAGTAAACGATATTATAATTTACTATATTTTTTTAAAACATGAAGCCTTTTTGATATAATACTTTGGCGATGTAATCCGCCCAACACTAATGATTTTCACAATTATGTGAATGCTAATCACCCATAGTGTGATTGATTGATTCCTGTAAAACCATTATATATAGGTACATATTAGCACGTACTATTGCCAAGTATTCGTCAATAAGATGTCAGAACGTGTAGATTGATTTGTACTATGAACGGTGTATCGTACATCCGCTTAGAAGCCCATTGAGTGCTTCTTTATACGAAAATCATTGTTACTTTGCGTATTTTTAAGACAGGTTTACTATAGCACTCTTCTATTTCGTAAAAGATTAAACAGCAATAATTTCTGTGTATGCAAAGGAAATACACGTCGGAGTTATATGATTCTAAATTATTGCAATGTCTAATAATTCGTATTATCTTTGTAGTTTCACAAGGAATGTAACACGGAACTTTTGCTATCCTAAGTGGTGACGATTACTTAAGAATATAGAATTAGAAGATTTGTAGATATATGCCATAAGTTTGAAATTATATACAAATAAGAGCCTCTAAGATTCACAGTCGAAACTTAGCACTATGACTATGTTAAAAACCTTCACCGATAATCTCGATGGCTATAGGATTGCACGTGCATGGATCTCGTTAGCGCAGCGACCTGATTCGTGCTCATGTGATTTTCAGTCTTTTGTCTATGGAATAAGACAAAAAATTGTTTTGAGTGATGTTTATGTCTCATAGTAAATCTCGACTCTGAATCTTGTCTTTGTGATATGCGTGACCACTTAAGGAAGGATTTGTATGGACACATGAAAAGGCATGCTAATTCATACAATTAATGATGGCGAGTCGTGCCTATCGCGTTGGTATTGTCTAGGGCAAGGTACGTGCTAATCATTGTTCATACAAATATTCTATAGCGATTACTCCGTCACGCTCATGGTAATCCTGCATATTCCAGGTGTATTAATGTGCCTGTTATCAACATTTATATGTACAGTATTAAGAATGGATGGATGTTTGCTTATATTGTGGTATGTATGACTAGTCTGATAGTCATGTGAATATATATAAAATTGAATAATAAATATTGATTACAAATCTTAGTTTGTTTTAGTTATGATAACCTGTAAAATGACCCTTTAACCTGAAAGTTTGGTATAGTTGTAAAAGCTAACGATCGAAAAATATTTCTTCCCGATTGTTGTTTTTTGTTCCAGTGCTTGGGGCCGTTCAAGTATTACGTAAACAGATTTTCAGCAATTAATCCCCTCCCCACCCCTCCTGTTGCTGCCAGCAAAAGTAAGCAAAGCTCTCAAAAATAATAGTACGTAAAGGTATTATTTTTTCTAGGAATCCTCGAAAATGCATTTCGTTCTCTAACATATACAATGTGTGGGTAAGATGTGTAAAAGTAAATAATTACAGTTGACGTAATCACCAAATAAGAAAGTAATACAGTAACGTAATCACCAAAGACCCCCCTCCCCCCTATATTGCTTACGCAATACTTGAACGGCCCCCTTCCATAAACGCAATAATTTTATTATTGTGTCTGGTTATTTATTTA